TGTGTCTGTGTGTGTTTTTGTTCTCCCCCTCCGAAACAAACGCCCAAAGCCCTTCGCGACCCTCTGCCGCCCCTTGGAGGGCTGCCCCTCCCGCACGCCGCCGGCCCGAGCTGCCTTCAGAACCTCCGCTCAACGGCGCTCCGCGGGGGCCCGCCGCCCCGGAGGCCGCAGGCCCGGCCGCTCTTGGGCAGGTTCCCTCCGCCGTGCCCCACGCGTGGAGCCATCTCCGCCGAGTGTGGACTCCGCATGTCGCCTTCTCATCACCATCACCATCGTCACCATCGTCATCACCATCGTCATCGTCATCGTCATCGTCATCGTCATCGTCATCGTCATGATCATCATCATCATCATCATCATCATCATCATCATCATCATCATCATCATCATCATGATCATGATCATGATCATCATCATCATCATCATCATCATCATCATCATAATCATCATCATTATAATCATCATCATCAGCATCATCATCATCGTCATCGTCATCGTCATCGTCATCATCACCATCGTCATCATCATCATCATCATCATCATCATCATCATCATCATCATCATCATCATCATCATCATCGTCATCAGCATCGTCATCATCATCATCATCATCATCATCGTCATCACCATCATCATCATCATTATCATCATCATCATCATCATCATCATCATCAGCATCATCATCATCATCATCATCATCGTTGTCATCGTCATCGTCATCATCACCATCGTCATCATCGTCATCATCGTCATTATCATCGTCATCATCATCATCGTCATCATCAGCATCATCGTCATCGTCATCATCGTCATCATCATCAGCATCGTCATCATCATCCTCGTCATCATCACCACCCTCGCCATCAGCATCGTCATCGCCAACGTCACCGTGACCTTTGGGGGGGAAGTAGCACGCCGAAGTCGTCGTCGCCGTGGTCGTCGTCTACGTCTTGGACGCCGACGACGCGACGTCAGTATCGTCATGGGGGCAGGGCACAGCACGACGTCGTCGTCGTCGTCGCCGTGGTCGTCGTCATCGTCGGCGTCTTGGACGTCGACGACGCGACGACATGAGTGAACCCAAGACGTCCTGTGATGGCACCGAGACGGCTCATGGTGTCCACAAGACGGCCCACGTTGGCCCACACACCAGAGGATGGCCCAAAAATCTCATGTGAGAACCCAAATGCCATCTCTCAAGAGCACGGCGGCGACTGACGGAGGCTGGTGTGCTATTGCACTGGAGCGGCGCGCACAATGAGGATTGAATGAACAACACGGCCGCACAGAGTCCAATAAACAAGTTTGACCATCTGACCGCATGTAAGGCGACGACAAATAAACATACGTCCACTCTCTGGTCGTCGTCATCGTCGACGTAGTCGTCGTTGTTGTCGTCGACGTCCTCTGCAATAGATTTTACGCGGCGCACATCTGCTGATCTCAACATCGCCTACTCAAGCCTTCAAAATTCAGGATCCTATGCGAATGGCATATTATGTTTTCTGCGCGCCCCAAATCTAAGCCTTTCACGATGGAGATCTGTGCAGCCCACGCCCGTGTGTAACAATCACTATGCTGCTCACATCTGCTAATTTTGACATCGCCTTCTCCAGCCTTCAACCTCCACGATCCAATGTGCATGTTTTCCTGACCACCCCCAATCTAGACATGCCACGGTGGGAATACCTGCTGATCTGCGTAGGACGTACCTCCGCTGGGCCTCCCAGAAGCTCGCAACAATGGCGACAGTTTCGCAGATCGAAGCCCCCCAAGGGACGGCGAGGTCTCGTGGTGATCTGCGTATGACGTACCTCCGCTGGCCCTCCCAGAGAGGCCCACGAACGTGGCGACGGTTTCGCAGATCGCAAGCCCCCCAGCGGACGGCGGGGTCTCGTGGTGATTTGCATAAGACATACTTCTGCTGGCCCTCCCAGGAGCCCACTAAAGTGGCGACGGTTTCGCAGATCGTAGCCCCCCAAGGAACGGCGAGGTCTCGTGGTGATTTGCGTATGACGTACCTCCGTTGGCCCTCCCGGAAGCCCACGAAAGTGGCGACGGTTTCGCAGATCGCAGAGCCCCCAGGGGACGGCGAGGTCTCGTGGTGATCTGCGTAGGACGTACCTCCGTTGGGCCACCCAGGAGCCCACAAGTGGCGACGGTTTCGCAGATCGCAGCTCCCCTGGAGACGGCGAGGTTTCGCGGTGATGTGCGTGGGACGTACCTCCGCTGGCCCTCCCAAGAGGCCACAAAAACGGCGACAGTTTCGCAGATCGCAAGCCCTTCATGCGGCCATCCAGGTCTCGTGATGATCTGCGTAGGACGTCTCTCCGCTGGCCCTCCCAGAAGCCCACGGAAGTGGCGACGGTTTCGCAGATCGCAGGCCCCCAAGGGGACGGCGAGGTCTCGTGGTGATCTGCGTAGGACGTACCTCTGTTGGCCCTCCCAGAAGCCCACAAAAACTGCGACAGTTTCGCAGATCGCAGCCCCCACGGGGACGGCGAGGTCTCGTGGTGATCTGCGTATGACGTACCTCCGCTGGCCCACCCAGAAGCCCACGAAAGTGGCGACGGTTTCGCAGATCACACGCCCCCAGGGGACGGCGAGGTCTCGTGGTGATCTGCATAAGACGTACTTCTGCTGGGCCTCTCAGAGAGGCCCACAGAAGTGACGGCGAAGTCTCGTGGTGATCTGCGTAGGACGTACCTCCGTTGGGCCACCCAGGAGCCCACGGAAGTGGCGACGGTTTCGCAGATCGCAGCCCCCCTGGGGACGGCGAGGTCTCGTGGTGATCTGCGTATGACGTACCTCCGTTGGGCCACCCAGGAGCCCACGAAGTGGCGACAGTTTCGCAGATCGCAGCCCCCCTGGGGACGGCGAGGTCTCGTGGTGATCTGCGTGGGACGTACCTCCGCTTGCCCTCCGAGAAGCCCACGAAAGTGGCGACGGTTTCGCAGATTGCAGCCCCCCAGAGGACGGCGAGGCCACGAGGCAGGGAGGAAGAGGGGGAGGAGGAGGAGGAGGAGGAGGAGGAGGAGGAGGAGGAGGAGGAGGAGGAGGAGGAGGAGGAGGAGGAGGGAGGAGGGATGAGGAGGAGGAGGATGAGATGAGGAGAAGGAGGAGGAGGAGGAGGAGGAGGAGGAGGACCCGGAGGAGGGGGAGGAGGAGAGGAGGGAGGTGGAGACCACAGTGCACTATTCAAAACGAGTGCCCAACACAAGAGGGTTGGGAACAAAAAACGGGTGGGTCGCGGGGCGACAAGCGGGTCGTGGGTGGGTTTCGGGACGGGGCGCGGGTGGGCCGCGGGTCGCCAAGCGGGTCGCGGGTGAGTCACTGAGAGGGTCGCGGATGGGTCGCGGGTTGGTCGCAGGTCGCCGGATGGGTCGCAAGGTGGGGTGGGTCATGTGGCGGGGTGCGCGTGGGTCGCGGGGTGGGTCGCCAGTGGGTCGCGGGGTGGGTCGCGGGTGAGTCACGGGCGGGTCGCGGGGCAACGTCGACAAGAACGAGCATTGTGTATGAGACCTTCGAGCCCCTCGCTGTGGTACTATCCATACGCGCCTCCTTGCAGGCACGCCTGAAGATCATCCTCGCACATAGTGCGCACAGACTTGACACACACTCTCATTTAAAGTGTGTTAAATCATACGCGCTCCCATGTAAGTGATTATATCAAGCGTTTTTGGGCGTTTGATCTGGTGCAGGCACTGCCATGCGCGCACGCTCAGACAACTGCGTGTTTTACGGAGGTCGCGACACACTCCAGACGTGCACTCGATATGTCAGTCCAGCGCACACTGTGGCGGTCTTACACAAAAAACAATGCAAAGCGGTCTACGGCGATCAGTGCAACAAGTTGCTCTGGCCAGGCGGATGCAACTAATCCCTTCGGGCACGCCCAGAAAACAGTGCCGCTCTGACGCTCGCATCAAGAGAGCGATCGCCTAAAAGCTCGCGCGTGAGCGGCGTCTGCCGTCGGCGAGACAAACGATAACAACAAGTGCATCATATGCGCATCTGATGATAATCACAACTCGTATTCGAAACGCGGTTATAATTTGGCCTTCATGCCAACCAACATAGTGACGGCGCCTGCCTCGGGCACGACAACCGTTAAACACGACCTGTGTGTGCGTGGCACCTGCCTCCGGCAAGACGAGCGCCAAAAACAGCCTGCAAGCGACCTACAGCGTCTCCTGTTGTAGCCTGATGTCTGAGGCAAGAATGGCCATGAGTGTAGGGGGCCACATGCGAACCCTACCCCTACCCCACACGATTTCTGAAGGGGAGGGTGGGGTTCACTTCGTTCGGGAGCTCTCGAGCGAAGTGAACCCCACCCTCCCCCTCAGAAATCGTGGGGGGTAGGGTTCGCATGTGGCCCCCTAGAGTGGGCAAATGAAGACCAACCTCCGCCTTGAGTCGGTCCCGGGGCCCCTCCCCGCGAGTCCGGCCTGGCACATCTGTGGAGCTGCGCCACGGCCGCGACGACGAGAGCCTCTGGAGGCGCAGAGAAGCCTCCTCGTGAAGGGGCCCCAGGACACACAAATAGATACACACAAATAAAACTATTCCCCATCTTTCCCCATATTTTCTGGGTTTCTGTCTTCCCCCCCACTTCCCACATTTTCCTACATTTTCTGGGGGGTCGAGGATGAATCGTGTCTGTGTGTGTGTGTGTGCTTCCTCTCCTGATCTCAGGCCACCGGCTTCAACGAAGACGCCGCCGACGAGAGGGGAGGGAGGCACAGCCGCTAGCGGGCGCCCCTGGGCGGTCGCGCGGCGCCCTGCTGGGCCCTCAGCTTCCGGACGCCCCTCGGGAGCAGGAGCTCCTCCGCCTCCTGCAGCGCCCTCGCGCTGCCGTGGAGTGCGCCCGCGGGAGGCGCCTTCCAGAAGCCGCCGCCGCCGCCGCAGATGAAGTTGCGCTTGCCGCTCAGGGCGCGCGCTGGCTGCGTCACCGCGCCGTAGTCGCCCCTCGCCGTGGACCTCGGGGCGAGGCCGAGTTCTTACGGTATTCGGCCGGCTCGCGGCATGCGTCCCGCGACCTCGGGAGCATTGTCCGGCGGCCCACGTCTCTGCGGCCTGTGCGGGACATCGGGAAATCCGCAGAGCCCTGGTAAGGTTCTGGGGACGCGTCAGCACCATCGGCTACACGCAAAGAGTAACGTAACCAGCCTCGAACGTACCCCTATCCCTAAGATGGGCGAGCAAAACGCGAGGACAGTCTTAGGGACAGGCCCTCAGAAAAACTGAGGGGATTCTCAAGGTCGGCATCGAGGTAAGATTGATATCAAACATAGGGATTGGTATATGCTTCAAACTGGTAAACGTGTGGCCCTGTATAGGCAAGACTGGCCTCTGCTGCGCGGCCCTCCGACCGTGGCGCACGCGGTGCGGCACCAACGGCCTGCTCGCTTGGGTGCTGGCCCTCCCGCGCCCCCCGGAAAGCCGAGCACCATGTGGCCACTCCGGCGAAAGGCCACTCTTTGCGTGTCGCCGATAGCATCGGCTACACGTAAGAGCCTCCTCCTCCTCCTCCGAGGCCCTGGGCAAGAGTGACCTTGGTCGGCATCCACCAAAGGGGGGGGGACCCTGAGGGGGGGGCACGAGTTCGGTCCGCTGGTGCACCGAACTGCTGCAAGCAGGTGCCCCCCGCATCGGCAGCTGTCGGGAGCTGACGGCGGCCAGGGGGCATCTGTTTTGGGCGGTTCGGTGCAAAAACCGATCGAACTCTCTCTATCTCTCTCTCTCTCTCTCGCACACACACGCACCGCGGCACACACACACACACACACCTTGCGGAATCCCGGCTTTAGTGCGCGGCTCAACGGGGCACGCGGGGGGGGCCAAACCTGGGCGCGTAAGCCGCTGCTATCGCATCGCAGTCGGCGATTGGGGCACCCCGTTGGGCCCGCACCCAAAGGTCACTCCGGCGAAAGGTCGCTCTTGCGTGTCGCCGATATCGTGACTTCTTTCTTGCTCCTCTGAAACCTGGGCGGGTCTGGCGCGTGGTCGGAGAAGCAGCCTTCCAGGCGGTCGCCGTTGACGACCCAGGCCGGCCGGCCCTCGTTGGCGCGCGCCGCCTCCTCGAGGGCCTCCCGCTTCCTCGCGCCCGAGGTGTGGAGGAGCGCCTCCGCCGCCTGCAGCTCCCGCCGCGCGCGGACGGTCTGCTCCAGCCGGGCGGCGTACTTGCGCTCGGTCGGGCCCAGCTGCTCGGGCCGCTTGCTCCCGAATGCGTCCAGCCTGACAGGGGCCGGCTGCCACCGCGGCTCCCGCGGCCGCGCCCCGCTCGGCCTCTGCAGCGCGAGGTTCAGGGGGCGGGTCGGGTCGAAGGCCCCCGGGCTGTGCCAGCCCGCCGACCACTCGGGCCGCTCGATCGCGGAGCGCGCCGACACGGGCTGCCTGACATGCCCCCCCGCACCCCCAAGGCAAGGGCGCCGGGGGAGCAGCATAGAGGGGAGGAGGGGGAGGAGGAGGAGGGGGGGGGAGGGGCGGCGAGGACGAGGAGGACGAGCAGAGGGAGGCCGGAGGAGGACAGATGAGGGATGGGGGAGGAGGGGGACAGGAAGAGGCAGGAGGAGGAGAAGGAAGCGAGGACCAGGAGAAGGCGAGGCGGAGAGTGAGGGAGGCTGGGGTTTCGAGCGGGGGGGAGGGATGAGGAGAGGGACGAGGAGGGGGATGGGCGTGAGGTCATTGCAACGCAATGCTAGTAAATGTCGCCCCGCACAGCGTGGCACCTATGTGGGCCTAGGCTACCTTCGGCGTACCCACCCCGTCTACACACACGCACACGCACACGTACACGCACACGCACACGCGCACGCGCACGCGCACGCGCACGCGCACGCGCACGCGCACGCGCACGCGCATGCGCACACGCAGGCGCACGCGCGCGCGCACGCGCACGCGCTTGCGCACGCGCTTTCGCACACGCACACGCTCACGCGCACACGCTCACGCGCACACGCACACGCGCGCACACGCGCACGCGCACACGCACACTCACACGCGCACGCGCACACGCACGCGCACACGCACACGCACACGCGCACGCAAACGCACACGCGCGCACGCACGCACACGCGAACACGCACACGCACGCGCACGCGCATGCGCACACTCAAACTGACACGCAACCGTACACGCACACGCACACGCGCACACGCGTAAGCACACGCACCTGCACACGAACATGCACACGTACACGCACGCGCACGCGCACGCGCACACGCACACGCACACGCACACGCACACGCACACGCACACGCACACGCGCACGCGCACGCGCACGCGCACGCGTACGCGCACGCGCACGCGCACACGCACGCGCACACGCAGGCGCAGGCGCACGCGCACGCACCCGCGCACGCGCACGCGCACGCGCACACGCACGCGCACACGCACGCGCACGCGCTCGTGCACCCGCACCCGCACCCGCACGCGCACGCGCACATGCACGCGAACGCGCACGCGCACGCGCACGCACACGTGCACACGCACGCGCATGCGAACACGCAAACGCAAACGCAAAAACACGCGCGTACACGGACACGCACGCGCACACGCACACGCGCACACGCAAACGCACACGCGCACACGCACAGCGCACGCGCACACGCACACGCACGCGCACGCGCACACGCACACGCACACGCACACGCAAACGCACACGCATATGCACACGCGCATACGCACACGCACGCGCACATGCACACGCACACGCACACGCACACGCACACGCGCACACACGCAGGGCTTCCCAGGACTCCTCTTTTCAGGATGCGTGGCTCAGGAATGGCAACGGCCTGGCCGACACTTGGGCCAAGAAGGGAGCAGCCCATTGGACAATCCCTTCGGAAAGGACCCTGTTTGCTGAGGCGTGCGAAGCGCGCGTGCGGGATCTCGTCCACTGGATAGGCCGGCTGCATGTGTGGCAGGTTGGCAGTGAGCTGTTCGACACAGACGGCATGGCAGGAACCGCCGATGTGGTGCTCGAGCTCCCTGACCATGTCCGCCTGGAGGGCGCGGGGCCTCTGGACGAGGCCTTGGCGGCCCGAGACCTGCTGGGCTGGCGCTCAGCTGAGTGCGCTCCCCCGCCCCCGCCCGCGCCCGATGATCTGGGAGGGGGGGACGGTGGTGACGAGCTGGGGCTCGGGGAGGAGTGCTCTGGCAGGCCGCGGCGACTTCAAGGGCATTCGATGGTCAAGTGTGGTGCGGCAGCGGAGGTGGACGAGCTTCCCCCTCGGTTGTGTGCTGCAAAAATGCTGCGGGGCCTCCTGTGGCCAGCGCGCGGTCCCCGATGATAAAGGCATCGCTGGAAGCTGTCTCGAGGCCCAGCATGCTGGGCTGAAGGCCCAGCGCTCTCTCGCCTCGGGCGTCGTCTCCACCCCTCTGCGCCCTCGCCGAAGGGGCCCTCTGGGCTCAGAGGTTTCCGCGAGGAGCGAGGCGGAGTGGCTGCAGGAGAAGCTGACGAGCCCCCTCGGTGGTGCTCCTCCTGGGGCGCCTGGCTCCTCTGGGGCGGGCCCCAGGGCCGCGTCGGGGGTGCCTCCCGGTCCCGGGCCTGGTCGCGCGGGGCCCGTCGGCTTCTGCCATCATGTGGTGCAGGTCCCCGTGCTGGGCCTCTTGCAGGTCGCTCGACTCCGCGGGTCTGAGGCGCCCGATATTCGGCGGTCGAAGGGGCGAAGGAGCGGCGGCGGGCAGCGAAGCTCGCCAGGGCCGAGGCTGCCGAGCTCTGGCCTCTCCCCGAAGAGGAGAGGGGCCCGTAATTCGGGCCTGCCGCGTAGCGGCGAGGCATCTTGCCTATGCACCTTGAGCCGTTCGGCCTCCTCCTCTCCGTCATCTTCCCTTCCTTCTCCTCCCCATCCACTCCTCCTCCTCCTCCTCCTCCTCCTCCTTCTCCTCCTCCTCCTCCTCCGGCCGAGGATGAGCGCAATGAGTAGGAGTTAGACGAGGGAGGAGCGATGCGGAGGCGGGAAAACGAGGGTGGATGAGATTGCTGTTTGATGATGGTGATGATGATGTTGATGATGATGTTGGTGCTAATGGTGATGATGGTGATTGCGATGCTGATGCTGATGACGATGATGATAATGATGTTGTTGATGATGACGATGACGATGACTGACGATGACGATGGCGATGACGATGACGATGATGTTAATGATGCTGCTGCTAATGATAATGATGATGATGCTGATGATGATGATGATAATGATGATGATGCGGATGCTGATGATGCTGCTGATGCTGCTGCTGATGATGATGGTAATGGTGGTTGTGATGATGATGATGATGGTGGTGATGATGATGATGATGATGATGATGATGATGATGACGATGCTGATGATGCTGCTGCTGATGATGAGGATGAGGATGAGGATGAGGCGGAGGAGGACCACAGCAAGCCCGCGAGACACCCTCCCGTCCTAAGCGCCCTCCTCCTTGGAGTCACTGCAAGCACTTGTGCTTCCCACGGCGCGCGAAGGGCCCCTGGAAGGATGAGCGCCCCGTGGGCCCGCCAGTTCGGGCGGGAAGCTCCTCTCGGAACGGAGAGCCACCCCTCCACCCTTTGAGCAATAAATCGGTCGGGCATGGCCTCCTACAGTTGAGCAAGGACCGACCGTCCCGGCATACCTATAGGCCCACCACGAGATGTTCTTAGAACCCGAAAACGGTCTAGGAACAAAAGCCATGTTCTTAGAACATAAACCCGATGCGTTAAAACAAGACAGTCCCAGCCAGAAATGTTCTAAGAACATTTCGTGGAAACCACAACAGGTCCTTAGAACATTGTTTGGCAAGACTATAAGCGAGCCGGGACGCTTCGCCGGTGAATGATACAGGCAGTTCGTGGAAGAACAATCAAACATGTCAAAGAGATTCAAGCATAGACAAGCGTAGTCAACACATCGTCCCCAGACTGTTTTTGTTCGACTATGTTCGGATCTTCTTCCTGTAGAGGGACAAGTTGCCCGACTGATAACTACGAGGAAGGCGACGCTGCGGGCCTCAAAACACTCCAGGAGGTGCCCCCGAGAACCCTCCCGCTTTGAGAATGGGCCACCCTTCCTCCGTGCCACTTCTGCGCATTTTCAAATCTGGACTTGCAGTCGAGCGAAGTCTCACGCCAGAGCCCCATTCTGAAATTGAACAAGCCTACACCTGAGGAGGCAATTACTGGAGGCCTTCGTCGGAATAACTAAGGAACGTTAAGCCCCATTAGGGGGCTGCTACGCCGGATGAGGCCGCGGATTAAGCGGGATTAAGCCTTATAAAGCAGGACTAGGCCGGATCAAGCGGAACTAAGCCGGATTAGCCCCGATTTCGGACAAGGGCAAAGTCAGAACTTGACCTCCCAGGATTTGCATCCGAATGCGCTCATGTAACTGCTGTATGAATCGACAATTCTGGCAAGCCATGTTGAAGAGCCCTCTAGCGAAGCCATTCTGCAGAGGACCCAGCCTCCATCGGTTACATCGGCGTATCGGTTGCAAGCTTTCGACACGAACGTGCACCGCGCGAAAACGAGAACCACACGTATGAAAGGACTTGGCAGCCATCCGCGCCACTGTTCCAAACGAGGGTGCGCGGCGGGAAGGCGAGAACCACATTAAAACGGGGCTAGGATCGGGATAAATCGCTCCAGAGCGTTCCGGTGCGCTCTCAGAGCGTTCCGGAACGCTCTGGAGCGGCCGCGGCGCCCAATACATCCTCCAAACCCGCCGATTCTTAGAGATTTCGAGTTATCCCGATCCGATTTTGTCCCGATCTTCGCGTCGTTTTACACATGCCGAAATCACCCCCCCTCCCATCCGAGGGGCTGTTCGACCCGTCGCGCTCTGGGAGGCAGCTCCGGAGAAACGCCGGGCTCGGCCCCCAGCCACGATGGCGACGACGATGAGGATGGTGACGACGAGGAGGTGGTGGGGCGAATGAGGCTGGAGAGTTTCGGCGGCGAGCGAGAGGGGAAATGAGAAGGAGAAGGCCTTCTCAGAAGGCGGCGGGGCTTCTCAGAAGCCCTCGCGCCTGCTGAGAAGTCTCGAGTGTCCTCGGGGAAGGCTTCGCAACCTTCTCGGAAGGCCGCGGGACTACTTCCGAGCCTTCTGAGAAGGCCCGCCCCTTCTCGCGTCCCCCCCGGGCTCGCCGACGGGAACTTGCCCCTCGGCACGGACAACCAACATGATGCTTCCAACCTCGAACGCTGCACGTCGCCGCAGCCGTGCTGCGCCGCAGCGTGAGGCAGACGAGCGGATGGACGGCGTCCGAGCTCTCGACACCGCGTGCTGCCTCCAACATGAAGCCCTGATACAGTCGGGGCGTGGACCTAAGGAACCCTAAATCCGCCGACACTGTCGGCGTGTGCGAGGGGCTTGGCTGTTGGAGTCGTCGTCTCCGTCGGTCGTCGCCTGCGTCGTCCCCTTTCTCTGCAGCTTCCTTCTCAAGCTCGTGAGCGAGAGAAAAATCGAGCAGTGTCGTAATCGAGTCGAAGGGAAGCCCCTTCCCTTCGATCCCTTCCCCAGGGGGGGGGGGGTCCCGGGGGGAGTCCCGGGGGTGGTGGGGGGGCAGATTCGTTTTTCCTCGGGCGGCCTAGAAACCTCGAAAACACTCCAAATGAGGTCCGAATGCCCCAGATGGCCCCCGAGACGGCCCAAGAGGGCCCCGAGTCGCCCAAAGATCGGCCGAAAACGCCCACGATAGCCCCAAGACCGTCCAAGAAGCCTCCAAGACGTCCCAGGCCCCCTCCAAGAGACCCCCAGGAAGCCCCAAGAGGCCCCCACGAGGCTTCCAAGCGGCCCCTAAGAGCTTCCCAAGAGGCCCACAAACTATCCCCAAGAGGCCCCCAAGAGCGCTCGTCGTCGTCGTCGCCATTCAGGGTCGGCGGCACCGGGGTTCAGGCCTTCTCAATAAGGAACGAGGCTCCTTTTTTCCATGAGTTAACCTTCGATGTCCGATCGAAAACATACGGAACACCTGAGGCAAGCTGCGAAACACTTAAGGAACGCGGAGCCCCTCCCCAACCAAAAAGGTTCCTTGTTCAGGGCCCCGACTGTACTGGGTCGCTGGGCAGACAAAACGAGGCGATGAGACAACACAAGGGTCAGGGGGGGCATGCCCCCCTACGGGCGGATGTTGGGAGGAACAGTGAAAGATAGGTAGTCCAAACATGCCCGAAGATGATCAACAAATGCTCAAAACATCGTTCCCAGACTATTGTTTGGCTGTTTTCTTGACTACTCCTCCTGTGGAGGGACAGGCCCGGCCTACGACTGGGCCGCCGGGAAGACACAGCGAGGCGACGAGACGACACAGCGAGGCGCGAGGCCACAGGGCACGCCGACTTCCGGGGCAGTGGAGGAAACAACCCCCGCGGGCAGGGCGGGAGGGCCTTCGAACCCGCGGCGCCTGTCGCACCGGGACCCGCACGAGCCACGAGCAGAGGACAGAAAGGGAAAAAGGAGGGAGGGGACGAGGCCACGAGAGGGGAGGAAGCGCCACGAGCTCCTCCTCCTCCTCTTCCTCCTCCTCCTCCTCCTCCTCCTCCTCCTCCTCCTCCTCCTCCTCCTCCTCCTCCTCCTCCCCCCCCCCCCTCCGCCTCCTCCTCCTCCTCCTCCTCCTCCTCCTCCTCCTCCTCCTCCTCCTCCTCCTCCTCCTCCTCCTCCTCCTCCTCCTCCTCCTCCTCCTCCTCCTCCTCCTCCTCCTCCTCCTCCTCCTCCTCCTCCTCCTCCTCCTCCTCCTCCTCCTCCTCCTCCTCCTCCTCCTCCTCCTCCTCCTCCTCCTCCTCCTCCTCCTCCTCCTCCTCCTCCTCCTCCTCCTCCTCCTCCTCCTCCTCCCTCCTCCTCCTCCTCCTCCTCCTCCCCTCCTCCCTCCCCCCCCCCCCCCTCCTCCTCCTCCTCCTCCTCCTCCTCCTCCTCCTCCTCCTCCTCCTCCTCCTCCTCCTCATGCTGCCATACGAGGGGAGGCCACAACAAGAGGGGACGAGGCCGCAGGAGGGGAGGCCTTCGGACCGCGGCGCGCGCAAAAGGGAACCACGCGAGCCACGCAGAGGGGACCAGGGAAAGCGGAGGGAGGGGAAGAGGGCGATAGGAGGGGAGCGTTGACTTTTGAAGGTCGCTGGGGGGGCAGCGTTGTTTCGAGGGCCAGATCCCCGCACGCTCGGCGGGCGCGCTTGATCGGTCAACAGCAATCCTTCCAGCCGCCCTTCGCGAGAAGCTCTGATTTCAGGTTTGCTCTTGCCGACGATTGGGCTGCCATGCTTGCTCTTGCCCTACAAAAGCAATGCCCTCCCCCCTCGTCGCCCCAGAAACACAGATCGCGTTCGCTGCCCCTCAGCGAGCTTCAAGTTTTCTTCTTCGGCGTTTCGACAAGGAGCGAAGAGGCGAGGGGAGGGGGGGGGAGTCTGGCTCTGGACCTCTGCTCCGTGCGGCCGTTTGCGACGGTGCATCCTGTGCGGGGAGGCTCCACCTGCTCGAAACGGGACCCCCCCCCCAAAAAAACAGCCAGGCACTACTCCATGGGGAGGGGGAGGGGGGGGGTAAGAGGTCCCGCGCCGATCGATCGGCAAAGCAATGAATAAAAAACGATCGAAACAGGGAAGGGGGGCGCAACGTGAAGCGACAAAAACTAGAAATACGGTGCAAAGAAACCCGGGCAATTAAATAATTAAATGACTGATGTGACGGCACACGCACAAGTCATACGCCAGAGGCGCGTGGACGCTGACAGTACTGTACAACGCTGTGCTTCCACATGCGCTGATCATGCACAAGGTCAGACCTCAGATTGGCACGACATGACTCCCTCTGCACCATGGTCGTCCACTCATTGCGCGGACGCCCACAACGCCTGACATACCGCTGCGAAGCCGGAACTGTGGTGTTCGGGACGAACGCATGGGAGCGACGACACGATGTCACGATGTCACGGCGTGACAGCAGAATGCCACGCGCGGACCGGCCCAGGGCGGCGAGCGGGCAGGCCCGGCGCAGAAGCCGGGCTTGGCCGCTGGCGGCGGCCGAGGGGGGAGGGGTGGGGCGTCCGGCAAGTGCAAGCGGTGGGCCCTCACCCACCAGCTGAGAGACGAAGCCTGCAGAGCGCCAGGAGGAGGGAGGCGAAGAGGAAGGAGGGGAAGAAGGGTGAAGACTGGAAGCCGTGCAGACAGCGCTCGCTGGCGCAGTCCCTCATGCGTGATGCTCGTCATGCTGCTCATGGTATCCGCCGTGGCGCTCCGGGGACCTCTTTCCATGCTCATGATGCCTGACGTGCTGCGGCTGGCACGTGTCGTGATGTTCATGTCGCCCGTCGTGCTTTTCCTGGGACCCGTTGTGTTGTTCAGGGGCCGTCGTTCTGTTCAGGGCGTGGGTGGATGAAACGGGCGCAATCCAATAAAAGGATGTCATATTCACCCTGCTGTTCCCCCCCGATGCTGTCGCCTGCTGCGCCGATCATGGCATGCGTGCTCGTTCGGGGAGCCGCTCAGCATCTGGGATGCTGTCTGCGCCGCCCCTGAGGACAGGGATCACCACACTCAATCTCACGATGTGCGCATTGGAGCGCAACGGTCTGGACGACGATGCTGGGGGTCAGAATCTGTCAAGCCCCAAGGCGTCATCAGAAGCGGAGTTGGCAGTAGACAGGCAGCATGGAAGACGGAGCTGGCGTCGGAGCTGTGCTGGGACTCGGCGTGCATGCCAGGAGGAGGGAGGGACGGAAGGAGCACGGAGGGAGGAACGGATCCAGCCATCCGACGAGCTGTTCTTCGCTAGTCGCTCATGCGCGGCCCCAGGCAGGGCCCGACCTCCTCCACATGTTTCGTCCTGGACCTGTGCGTGATGGTCCTGGGTCTGGGGGCCCAGTAGTGGACCCCGAGGCCGAAAAATAGAGGGGAACGCCCGGAGTGACAAAACTCGATACACGGTTGGCGCTGGAAAGATGGCGTCCGGCATCGCTTTCCGAGAAGCACGCTGTCCCCGAGAGGCGATCTCCTTTTTTCCGTGGCGAGAGACTCCCGGGGCAGCAGGGCACGGCGCGCGCCCGCGGAAGCTCGGAGCACCGAATTGGGAGGAGGAGGAGGAGGAGGAGGAGGAGGAGGAGGAGGAGGAGGAGGAGGAGGAGGCCCCCGGGGCCCTACCCGCGCGCGACCGCGGAGGCCTCCGCTGTGCACGCTATTCTCCCTGCAGGGGGCTTCCTCGGTGCACGCGTCATCCCCAAGGGGGGGGGGGGGCTCGGCGAGCCGCCGGCGCCACGCCGCACACTGTCTTTGCGCAGGCCAGTCGTGCCTCGGAGATCTGGGGGTAGGAGGAGGGAGGAGGAGGAGGAGGAGGAGGAGGAGGAGGAGGAGGAGGAGGATGAGGATGGATAGGAGGAAGAGGAGAAGGAGGAGGAGGAGGAAGAGGAGGAGAGAAGGAGGAGAGGAGGAGGAGGGAGGAGGAGGAGGAGGAGGAGGGAGGAGGAGGAGGAGGAGGAGGAGAGGAGGAGGAGGAGGGGAGGAAGGGAGGAGGAGGAGGAGGAGGGAGGGAGCGCCATGAGATCCACGGTGGAGGACGCGGGGAGGGCGACTCTTCCAAACGCGGGATGAAGTCCACCAGCGGGCGAGCTTGCACCGCGTAGACTCCCCCGGGCAAGCTGGCCCGGGTGAATGCGCACACGGGGAACCCCTGGGTACGCGCTCCTCGCCCCGACGCGACCCCCCCCCCCGACGCGACGACGACGAAAACGACGACGACGACGAGGACGACGACGAGGACGACGAGGACGACGAGGACGACGAGGACGAGGACGACGAGGACGACGAGGACGACGAGGACGAGGACGACGAGGACGAGGACGACGAGGACGACGAGGACGACGAGGACGAGGACGACGAGGACGAGGACGACGAGGACGACGAGGACAAGGAGGACAAGGAGGACGAGGACCACGACTTCTGTCGCCCAGGGCCGCTGCCTGCCGCCCAGGGCCGCGGCGGCTCCCGCCCGCGCGGCGGCCCCCGCCCGCGCCGCGCCGCGCTGCGCCCCGCGCCGCTCCCGCGCCGCCTCCGCGAGGGTGAGCAGCAGGTCCTGCACGCCGGGGGCGGCGTCCTCTGCGGGGGGGGGGGACACTGAGGAGGAGGAGGGGGAGGAGGAGGAGAGAGAGGATGAGGATGAGGATGAGGATGAGGATGAGGATGAGGATGAGGATGAGGATGATGATGATGATGATGATGATGAGGAGGAGGAGGAGGAGGAGGAGGAGGAGGAGGAGGAGAGGAGAAAGAGGGGAGGAGGGGAGGAGGAGGAGGAGAGGAGGAGGAGAAAGAGGAGGAGGAGGAGGAGGAGGGAATAAGGGGAGGAGAAGGAGGAGGAGGAGGAGGAGGAAGAGGAGGAGGAAGATGAGGAGGAAGAGGGAGAGGAGCAGGAGGAGGAGGAGGAGGACGAGAAGGAGGAGGAGGAGATGGAGACGAAGGACGAGGAGGAGAAGAAGGACGAGGAGGAGGATGAGGAGCAAGGCAGCGTCGACCATCGACCTTGATGCCCGCGGCGTTAGAACGTGAGAGGATGAGGACGAGGAGGACCCCCGTAGACCCCAAACCCATTAACGATATCGCAATAGAGCCTCCCTCCAATGTCCCTCTTCACAGGCCCCTGCGAAACTTTGTCTAAACTGAGGAAGGGCCACGTTGGTCTGAAAGTCCTGAACTGTGCCAGCGCACCTACCTTGGACGTCGTCCCCGCGGATCAAAAGTACTGCTGCGTCTTGACGGCCCAAGGTCGCGCCATAACAGCATATCTGGAAATTCAGCACCGTGAGTGCAAGTAACACTTGCGCCCTAACACTCCGACGCCGCGCCAAACCACTACTTCTGGAACGCTGCCCAAGAACATCATCGAAACTGCTGTCCCCCTTAAAACGAATGCGCGCGGAGCTCAAACGAGAATCACATATTGAAAAAAGCAGCCCTCCATCCGCGAAGCTCGTGCCAATTATAAAATTAGCCTGGCGAAGGACCCAACCATATGCAGTTGTGAATACAGCAATTGTGAATACCATCTTCGCCCGCGCTCCCTATGTGGCCCCGGCTTCCCGCCGGAGCCCGACATGCTCAGGAACACGTTCGTGGCCGTCTTCGCGGGCACTGACGACGACAAGGACGGCGTCCCTCCGACCGAGGAGCACAAGCGGGAGAAGGCTTTGAGAGCCATGAGTGAGGAGGTGGCGTTGCACGTCGACACGGCGGAGTACGACGCCCAGGCGCGGTTGTTGAAGAAGCACAGCTATGGGGCCACGATCCTCGTGAGGGGTGTGTCGCAATGGCCCGAGGCCGCCATGCGGACCCTGCCACTGGGGCCTTCGGTGGAGCTCCTGTGGGGCCACGATCCTCGTGAGGGGTGTGCCGAAATGGCCCGAGGCCGCTATGCGAACCCTGCCACTGGCGCCTTCGGTGGAGCTCCCTATGGGGCCACGATCCTCGTGAGGGGTGTGCCGAAATGGCCCGAGGCCGCCATGCGAACCCTGCCACTGGCGCCTTCGGTGGAGCTCCCTATGGGGCCACGATCCTCGTGAGTGGTGTGCCGAAATGGCCCGAGGCCGCCATGCGGACCCTGCCACTGGCGCCTTCGGTCGAGCTCCCTATGGGGCCACGATCCTCGTGAGGGGTGTGCCGAAATGGCCCGAGGCCGCCATGCGACCCCTGCCACTGGGACCTTCGGTGGAGCTCCCTATGGGGCCACGATCCTCGTGAGGGGTGTGCCGAAATGGCCCGAGGCCGCCATGCGAACCCTGCCACTGGAGCCTTCGGTCGAGCCCCCTATGGGGCCACGATCCTTGTGAGGGGTGTGCCGAAATGGCCCGAGGCCGCCATGCGAACCCTGCAACTGGCGCCTTCGGTGGAGCTCCCTATGGGGCCACGATCCTCGTGAGGGGTGTGCCGAAATGGCCTGGGGCCGCTATGCGAACCCTGCCGCTGGCGCCTTCGGTGAAGCTCCCTATGTGGCCACGGGGCCACGATCCTCGTGAGGGGTGTGCCGAAATGGCCCGAGGCCGCCATGCGAACCCTGCCACTGGGGCATTCGGTGAAGCTCCCTATGGGGCCACGAGACGCTGCACTGGGTGGGTGGAAGGCAGGGAAGAGGGGGAGGAGGGAGGAGTGGGAGGAGGAGGGGGAGGAGGAGAGGCGAGGAGGAGGAGAACGCGGGGACCGTCTCTTCAAAGCGAGGACCCAACACCACAAGATGGTCGGGAAAAAGTATGTGAGCGGCGCTAAGGCGAGAACCGCGTTGTGACAAGGAGCCGCCCTCCGCCCGTGAAGATCTTGCAACTGTTTGAGACGAAGTGCGCGGCGCGAAGGCGAGAGCCACAGTTTGAAGGCGGACCGCAGTCAATGCGTAAAGCTCTTGCAAATCCCACCAGCCCTGTGGGCAAGGTGGTCTCGGGATTATCTGGTTCCTCTTCCTGCGGTTGTTCGGTGGGTTTCGCGGGGCGCTGGAGTGTCCAAGATGTCCTCGGCGAGAAGTTTAAATCATGCATTTGATCAGGTTTTGGGCCCATTTGGGCAATTTTGATGGCCCCAGGGGGAGACAAATCGAGGACGCCCCCTTTCGATCGATGGCCTGCAGGATGGCCTCAAGAGGCCCCCCATGGCTCCCAAAGGATCCCCAAGAGGGCTCCAAGAGGGCCCAAGACACCCCCAAAGAGCCCCTAAGAGGACCCCAAGATTCCTGTAGCCCCCTGTGGACCCCCCCCCAAAGTGGCCAAAATCAGTACAACACCAATGGAAAATCAATGATGTTTGACTTCTCACCGTTTCGATTCCGATGCGCTTTTGAAGCCTCATGATGGTCTCAAGATGGCCCAAGAGAGGTCCAAGAGGGGCCTCAGACAGCCCCAAGAGCGCCCAAGAGTGGCCCACGAGCGCCCCAAGAGGGCCCCGAGAGGCGATTTTGATGGCCCCAAGGGGGGGGCGCAACTCTAGGACCCCCCCCCTTTCATCGATGGCCTCCAAGATGGCCCCAATAGGCCCACCCACCCCCTGAGAGGGCTCCCAGAGGACCTCAAGACCCCAGCCGAGACCTCGCCAGACCCTGGGGGGCTGCGAAGTGTGCAACTGCCGCCACTTTCGCGGGCTCCTGGGAGGTCGCGCGGAGTGGAATTGTAAACAGTGTAAACAGACGTGACCGAGACCTCGCGGGACCCTGGGGTGGCTGCGAAGTGCGCAACTGTCGCCAATTTCGTGGGCTCCGGGGAGGTCCAGCGGGGTGGCGTTGGACGCAGACCCAGCCGAGAACTCGCGGGTCATCGGGGGGCTACGAGGTGCGCAACTGTCGCCAATTCCGTGGGCTCCTGGAAGGTCCACCCGAGAGGAGTGGTACGCAGACCCAGTTGCGATCTTGCGGCTCCCTGCGTGGCTGCGAATTGCGCAACTGTCGCCACTTTCGTGGGCTCCTGGGAGGTCTGGCGGAGGTCTGGCGGGGTGGAATGGTACGCAGACCCAGTTGGGACCTCGCGGCCCCCTGCGCGGCTGCGAATTGCGCAACGGTCGCCACTTTCGCGGGCTCCTGGGAGGTCGCGCGGAGTGGAGCGGTACGCAGAGCCGTTGGGACCTAGAGGCTCCCTGCGTGGCTTCGAAGTGCGCAAACTGTCGCCACTTTCGTGGTTTCTTTGGAGGTCCAGCGGAGCAGAATTGTACGGGGACCATGTTGGGACCATACTAGCCCGCCATGCCACCCCGCGCGCTTGCCTCGCTCAGCGCGACGCGCTGTTCTGCTATAGAGCGAGCGCACGGCGCGTTCTTTCCCGCGCATGTAGCGCTCGGCGCTGCTGCTTTTACTGAACATGTATGTCCCTCCTTCACACCCCTCTGTATGCTTCTGTCTACGTCTCTATCTTGCTTATTCGTGCATGCTTGATTGCAAACTTCTGAGTGCTCATGCGCACTGCGGGTGCTTCAGCATGCTTGTTTGTATCGAGTGGTCATATGTCGAATCGCCTCATGTGTGCAAGAGGTTGGGTACCTCCCCGGGTACTTGTTTTAATCCTGGCTTCTACATGTGGCCGAATGGTGGGTCGGGCCAGGCGAAAGGGGGGGATAGCAAAGGGGGGTTTGAGAATCAGCTCACGTAGCTGATTTTCCCGGCGCCTCCCGGCGCCTGAGGCGCCCATGCATCGAGGAATGGGCCCCTCGGTGGGGCCAGAACCAGCTGCATGCAGCAGATTTCGTAACCCCCCCTTTCCCTATCCCCCACTTTCGTCCAGCCCGATTCTACCAGTCGCGCAGGCAGGCTGGGAAGAGGAGGGGGGGGTCCTGACCAGTCGCGCGGCACATCGAGGCCCGTCCGAGCCGCAATCTCTGGCTCCAAGGATCCGCACCCACTGCGCACGAAGGATGCGCCCGCACCTCAATGTTTCCTGGCATCCTCGTGGGCGTTGTTTGGTGCTGTTGCCAGTCGACACGAGATGACAGCAACTTCGATTCGCAACTTCCCTGGTGGACAGTCAAGATCGGCCTCCGCGCCCCGATCCACAGTTAAATCCTGTTGGACGAGGATCACAAAGATAGAGGAGGAGGAAGGAGGAGGAGGAGGGAGGAGGCGGAGGGAGGAGGGAGGAGGAAGGAGGAGGAGGAGGAGGAGGGAGGAGGCGGAGGAGGAGGAGGAGGAGGAGGAGGAGGAGGAGGGAGGAGGAGGAGAGGGGGGGGGGGGGACTCTATTATCGCCCGCACGGGGTTACGGTATTTGCTAGCGGGCGAAGAGCGGTGCAACATACACTTCTTCGCTGTCGGGGGCGCCTGCGCCGGGGCGGCTGGAGAGGGAAGTGTATGCCCTTACTCGCGGTGGCATGTCAAGCGATAAACTTTCCAGCCGCCCTGGGGCAGCGCCCGCGGCGACCGGCGACGGAAACAAATATCTTCTACCGTGTTTCGCCCGCTCGATCTGACCGACGGGTGGGACAGGGGGGGGGGCCTCAGCGTCTGGGCCGACGCTTCGTCGATCCGCCTCCGCCCGTTGCGCAGACTGGGGAAGCAGGGGGGGGGGGGGGGGGTCCGGGCCATCCGCCGAGAGCAGCCGCCGCCGAAGCCAGCCAGAATCGGTCATGGGGGGAGGGGGAGGCGGCGGAGGCCCGCGCCGAACGGCGAACATCACATACACACACACACAAAGAACAAAAACGGCTACAGTCCAGCGTCTCGACTGCAAACCTCCTCCTCCTCCTCATCCTCCTCCTCCTCCTCCTCCTCCCTCCTCCCTCCTCCCTCCTCCCTCCTACCCTCCTCCCTCCTCCCCCCTCCCTCCTCCCTCCTCCGCCTCCGCCTCCCCCTCCCCCTCCCTCCTCCATCCTCCTCCTCCTCCTCCTCCCTCCTCTCCCTCCTCCTCCTCCTCCTCCCTCCTCCTCCTCCTCCTCCTCCTCCTCCTCCTCTCCTCCTCCTCCTCTCCTCCTCCCTCCTCCTCCTCCTCCTCCTCCTCCTCCTCCTCCTCCTCTCCTCCCTCCTCCTCCTCCTCCTCCTCCTCCTCCTCCCCTCCTCCTCCTCCTCCTCCTCCCCTCCTCCTCCTCCTCCTCCTCCTCCTCCTCCTCCTCCTCCTCCTCCTCCTCCTCCTCCTCCTCCTCCTCCTCCTCCTCCTCCTCTCCTCCTCCTCCTCCTCCTCCTCCTCCTCCTCCTCCTCCTCCTCCTCCTCCTCCTCCTCCTCCTCCTCCTCCTCCTCCTCCTCCTCCTCCTCCTCCTCCTCCTCCTCCCTCCCCCCTCCTCCCTCCCCCTCCTCCTCATCATTGTCCTCCTCCTCGTCCTCCTCCCTCTCCATGGTGTGTCCTGCCCGCCGCTGGCCGCCGGGAGCCCCGCCGCTCCGCTCCGCCCCGCGAGCCCCGTCACCCCCGCGCCTCGGTGGAAGCCCTCCTGCCAGGAGCAAGGAGAGGCGACACCAGTACCACTGGCGCGAGGAGCTGCGAGGAGGCGAGGGGGAGGAGGAGGAGGAGGAGGAGGAGGAGGAGGAGGAGGTGGAGGAGGAGGAGGAGGAGGAGGAGGAGGAGGAGGAGGAGGAGGGAGGCGGAGGAGGAGGAGGGAGGCGAGGGGGGGGGTCCCTGGTGGTGGCCCCCCCCCCCCCTCTCACTCGAGACGATCCCAGCCTCCAGCTCTGGGGAGGCGTCGTGGGCCTCCTCGCTGGAGGTGGGCCCCCGGGTGGTGCTGGTGCCGCTTCTCCTCCCTCCGACCTTCGAGTCGCCGAAGGGCCCCTTCCGGAGGACCGGCTCGCTGGGAGCGGCTTCTGCTTGCGGCTCCCCTGGGATCCTGACGTTGCAATGCCTTCGAGGCGGGCGCGTCCGCTGGGCTTCGGGCCCCGGGACCCTCATAGATCGATCCAGCTCGGAAAATGATGCGGAAAGATGGGGACAGGGGCTCCGTACATGTTCTTTGCGATGCTGTCATTCCTTCGCAACGTCGGATCTCAGGGTTCTCCCTCTCCACCGCGAGTCCCGCGGCCGAAGAGAGTTCTTGACCATTCGCCTGCTAAGAGGGGGTCAGACTTGCGGGGGTCAGAGTCAGCGAAGCCAAAATATAAGAAATTAATCACTGCGACAAGTACTGGCGCAGGCGAAGAATTCCCCTAAATGAGCTACAACGGACAAGCAAAGCTGAAGAACGAGTTGCAGGACAGGCAGAACGATTTGCAACAAAAAGGGGACACATACATTAATAGCTAGCTTGATGCATGCATACAGACATGCATACATCTGTAATCCTACATATGCATACATACATACACGCACTTCTTATGTATGTCTCTCTCTCTCTCCCTCTCTACTCTGCCCCTTTTTCTTTCGTTATCGTAATTGTTTGGTGCCCTCTCTCTCTCTCTCTCTCCGTCTGTCTTGTTTTCTCTCTCTCTCTCTCTGTCTCTCTCTCTCTCTCTATCTACCCGACGTTGGGAGGTGAGATCGCAGTGAAACGGAGACCCTCCCCCCACCAGGATATCGGTTTCGGATTCACGTTCGTGTCGCGCGTGCGGGCGAGGCGAAGCTGCGTGGGCGGGCGAAAGGAATGAACCCGCCGTTGCCATGGCGAGGCCAAGCCAAAAGTTACTGTCCCCCGCGTTGGCCAGCAGTGGCCCTGTGGTGTCCCGATGGTGTCTCATTGGTGTCCCAACAATTTCCCGAGGTGTCCCGATGGTGTCCCGTGGTGTCCCGCGGTGTCCCATGGAGTCCCGTGGCGCGGGGGTGTCCCGTGCTATGCTATATGCTATGCTATGATATTCTAGCAGTAGTGAACTCGATAGTGGAATCGCGTTCCATTGTGTCAGATCGACAGTGAGATCGATCGTGAGATCGATAGTGAAATCGGTAGTGAGATCGGTAGTGAGGTCGATTGAATGAGGTCGACTGGAAGATATCGATAATGAAATCGATCGTGCTCGATAGCAAGATCGATATTGATATCGACTGAGTGGGATCGAACATGAAATCGATCGTGATATCGATTGCGTGTTCGATTGTAAGATATGTAGGGAGATCGATTGAGTGAGGTCGATAGTGAGATCGATAGTGAGAGCGATCGTGCGATCGATATGAATATCAATGGTGATATCGATCGTGAGAACGATTGAATGAGATAGATCGTGAGATCGATAGTGGAATCGGTAGTGAGATCGGTGGTGAGGTCGATTGAGTGAGGTCGACTGAGAGATATCAATAGTGAAATCGATCGTGTTCGATGGCAATATCGATATTCATATCGACTGAGTGGGATCGAAAATGAAATCGATCGTGAGATCGATTGTGTGTTCGATTGTAAAATATGTAGGGAGATCGATTGAGTGAGGTCGATAGTGAGATCGATAGTGAGAGCGATCGTGCGATCGATATGAATATCAATGGTGGTATCGATCGTGAGATTGATTGAATGACATCGATCGTGAGATCGATAGTGACATCGATGATGATCTCGATAGTGAGACAGATAGTGAGTGCGATCGTGAGCTCGATCGTGGGATCGTTCGTGAGATCGATCGTGAGATCGACGGTGAGATCAACGGTGGTATATATATATATACATATAAATAGTGTGTGATCGAAAATGGGATCGATAGCGAGATCGATAGTGAGATCGGAAATGAGAACGGTAATGAGATCGATGATGAGGTCGATTGAATGAGATGTATGGTGAGATCGATAATGAAATCAACTGTGAGATCGACCAAAAACCCGGGAACCCAAAGACAAACAAACAAAGTAGAAACCCAGGAACCCGGCCGCCCACCGAAAGCGGCTCGGAATGTTGGCCAATTTTTTTTTATCTCCGCTAGGACCCCTTCGGCGCAAGCACTGAGTGGGGAAGAACACCTCGTCGGGCATCTCGGCAAATTGTACATGCGATATGCCTCGCCTGCACACCACGGGTATGATAAGCAATGAAAAGACCCCTAACCCTTTGGGAGGGAACCTGAGTTAGGAAGGCCAAACACATTAGGAGTGGGGGGTCTTTCCTGCGGATGTCTCAAGCCAAGCCGCCCAGACTTATGATCCCTAATGCGAAGACGGGGACCTCTTTGAGGCCACGCCTTCATCGTGTTATTAAGGGTAGGGTTTTTTTGCTCGATGAGAGTAAACGTCCCCGTCGGGAAGATGCGGCTTCAAGTCAAGCGGCACGAACCTCGCCTCGTCCTCTCCCCTCGCGCCTCGGTGACCGTGCCGCTGGACTGCTACACATGCACATCCAATAGACCTGCACGCTGTCGCATGCGAAGGATTGAATCGAAGAAAAAAGAAGGCATATACATAAACTGTTGGTGCTCCGCGCGGATTTCTTGGATCTGCGCTGGACCCCCCTCCCTGGCGCGTGAAGCGCATCGGGGGCGGCGCCGGAGGCGCCGCCGTGGGGGCCCAGCGCGGATCCAAGAAATCCGCGCGGAGTCCCAACAATTTATGTTTGTGGCGTTTCTTCGATTGAAGCCTGCGCAGCAATAGCGATGGGGACGCATGGGCGAACGCAGGAGAACACAGCCTTCAGCGTCAGTGCACAGAGCAAAACTGCCAAGACTGACGGATGGCCAAGACAAACAAACTTTTGGGAGAACCACGCGTGCTCAGGAGCGTTAGCTGTCAAAACCACTCATTCCCCGATGCGTGAGTGAAACAGTGCGGCGCAAATTACCGTATTCGTTGCCGTGACCCTTCAGAACGCAGCCACGGTGGCATCATGCCACCGCCCTGTAAGGTGCAACCCTCGGACATGAGCCACGGACGCACTTGAGGGTGATCGGAGGAGCAACAAATTGCACAAGCATAATTTCTTGCAGGTCCGCGCTGGATCAGCGTTGGAAAATGATTTGACGGACTTCTTGGATCAGCGCTGGACCCCCCTCCCGGGCGAGCGGAGCGCGCCAGGGGCGGCGCCGGGAGCGCTGCCGAGGGGGGCCAGCGCGGATACGAGAAGTCCTCGCGGCGCTCCGAGAAAATATGTGCATGCAGTTTGCCTTGTGAGGGCCAGGGGTGCCGAGGCGGTCTGGCGTGCAGTGCTGCGCCGGCGGCTCGCCACGCTGGCTGGGCCGCCGGACTGAGGCCAATGCCAGCAGCTGCGGGCTGTGCTCCTTCGACGTGTTTCACCCCCCCCCTCCCTCGCCTCCCTCGTCCCCCTCTTCGTGCCACTGGGCTTCTTCGCGCTTGCAGAAACACAGTGCATGCAGTCTGCCTTGTTCTTCGAAGGGCTACGGCTCTCGTTCCAGTAGATGGACAATATATACGAACCCTTGCACATTCGAGGGAGATTCTAAATCACCCCCGCGCCCCCGACATCAATGTTGATCTCAGTAAAGGCGGTGCTTTGGGGTTCGAATATTTCTGCCCACTCACGCCCCCCCCCGTCGCCACGCCACCAATATTAATTTCGGGGGGTCTGGGGGGCATCTTGAGCCACAGGGTTCGAATGTAATGTCCATGTACGTTCCCTGGGGTGCGGCAGTGCGCGAGAGTGCCGAGGGGCGCGCCCTTGCCGCGCTGCCTCTCGGAGCGAGCGGCGGCCGCGGCCCTCCAGGACCGGGGGCCGTGGCTCTCCGCGACCGGGGTCACGCCCCGCGCCACCGTACACAGCCTCTGACTGTGGAGGTGTACCCATCGGTCGGAAGAAGTACAGTCAACCCGCAGAGTAAGGATGCGCGATACGGATGCAAGGCCCTTGGACGCCCATCTCGAAGCGTTTCGACCGGGGCGCGGCCAACGAACGTGCCCAAGGATGGACCCAGGAAGCAAGGATGTAAGGGTACCCTTGGGAGGGATGTCTATCCTTACTCTGCGGGTCGACTGTAGATAGAAACAGGAAGTAGGAAGGCGTTGAGAGCAGATTGGGTGTCCGCCCGCCCTCTGAAGAGGACGGAAAAGGGGAAGCCACTCGATCATTGAAGTAGGAAGGCGCTTAATGTGCATTGGAATCTGGGACTCCCCAAATACCTACTCTCAACGACCGATGGGTAGTCAACCGGCTGTGCTTGGCATAATCTGCGCGCGGCAGTGGGCAGCGGGGGCGGCTCTGAGGTCGGCGTTCTGAAGGCTTGCCCTCCTTGTCACTACGTTTGCGCTGTGGTGCGCATGCCCGGCGCGGGGATTGCGACCACTGTGGCGCCACCATAAAGGTACCTTTGTCGAACTCCACGCTCCAGGCCCCCACATCCCCAAAAGGGAAATTCTACTAGCCGATGCGGAGGGGGAACAGCACGAATATCCCATGCGGGGCGCGCTCCTCCCAAGCGGCGCGCACAAGAACGCACGCTGGTGTGCGGGGACCTTCGCGGGCAGAGGGCAGACTCCTGAACCGCAGGTCTGCGTTCCAGTCCACGACGCAGGGCCACAGTCGACGACGCAGGGCCACAGTGACGACAAGGTCGAAAAACACGCGACGCCAAAAATTACGACTCTGGGCAACCGCACGCCGGCATTGACAACGGAGGCTTTCGCCCGGGCAGGAAGAACGAGGGCAATGACAACGACGATCGCGTAGTTATCTCCAGCTGCTCCCGGGGAACGGTGAAGCGGCGTCGATGCCGGGGTAGAAAGCTGCAGCCCGTCGATGATGACAGTGATGAGTAGGAATAAGTCGGGCCTGTCCCACTACAGGGGGATTTTGGACGACAAATACAATATACCTCAAAAAATACCAACAAATGTTCAAACAATATTCAAAGAAAGGTCCCCATACTATTTTTTTACAATTGTTGCAAAATCCTCCTGTAGAGGGAAAGGCTCGACTTAAGAGTAGGAGGGGGAGGAAGCGGAGGAAGCGAGTGCGGATGAGAAGCGGGGGGGAGGAGGACTGGGACGGGGCAGTGGCAGGAGGATGCGGAGGACGAGTGGGATATATATATATATATGTATATATATATATATTAAAAAAATAGAGATTCGGTGTCGTGGGGAGGGACGGGGAGAAGGACGTGGAGGCGAAGTGGTAACAACAAAGGGGGGGAGCGATACTGATGGATTGGAAGGTGTGCTTGGGGGAGAGATGGAGCGAGAGAGGACGGGATGTTATGCGAAAGAAGTCGCGCACTGCAGTAGGGCACCGAGGGGAGGACGGCGAGGGGAAGTCCAGAAGCAGATGAGGAAAGAGGGAGGAATGACGGACACAGTCCGACCGAGTGGACAGAGGGAGAGGAAGAGTGCAGCGATGCGCGAGCGCAGATGAGAAAGGCCCACAAGGTGCTCCAAATCAGCATCCTGGTCGACGGTCTGAGCAGCAGCAGGTGGCTCATCGGACGCGCGCCCTACATCGGGAGCCGATTACCCTGAGCTGAAATACGGCTCCACCACGCACGCGACTTGGTGATCCCTCGAATACCTGTTTCCCCGATCTCGTTGCTGCGTCCTGGCGGCATCCAGAACAAGTCTCACAGTTTCCCTGCCGACGCCATCCATTCCACGATTGTTTCCTTTCTCTTTGTAGATTCCTTTTCCTCTCACTCCCTATCCCCCCTTCTCTATCTATCCATATCCGTCGTTTTTTTTTCTCTCTCTCTCTCTCTGTCGCTCGCTCTGCATAAAAAGGATAATGACACGTTACTCGATGCGCGCGGGGAGAAAAACCAAACAATACACATGCTTCTCCGGTTCGAGCTCCCCCTCTCCTGAAGCCGACCATGTGTCCACCTCCATCCACCAACAATGTTCAAACTGAAAACCCAGAACACCCTGAACATCCAACCACATGATAATCATAATCGGCCAGAGTACCTCCCTCGATCCAACGACTGTGAATCATGAAGGCATCCTTGCATCGCTCGCAGCCAAAATTGAAAAATGTTCGCGACTCAACTCAAGGTTTACACGGAAACCAGGCGAGGAACGCAACGCGAACACTCATCCCGTCAATGGCGGCGCTGACCCTGCTCACCAGGGGTCTGCTTGTGTTGACGTTGTTCGGTGGTTCAGAGATGGGGTCCTGAAGGATGGGGTGCTAAGGATGGGAAGGGATCCAAGGGTGGACTTACATTGTTTTCGGCACCTCGTCCTTAGGGCCCCACCTCTCAGAACCCCATCTTTGAACCACCGAATTGGTCTCTGCGGCCCCCTTTTGTCGCTCCCGTCCAATAAGTCCTCGACACCCGCGCCTGCGCGACTCTCGGCCCCAGCGGGAAGCCCGCGAGGAGGGCGCGGGGGGGGGCTTCCAAGAAGGCAGGCGGCGTTTCTTGGAAACCCTCGTGGCCTCCTGGGAGCCTCCTTGGAAGCCGTCAGCCCGTCATTCTGAGAGGGTCCCCGCCTTCCAAGAAGCCCCCCGCCTTCCAAGAAGCCCCCTTACAAAGGCAAAAACATGAAGAATAGTAGAAACATTGTTCCCAGATTTTGTTTTTGCAATCTTGAATATCCTTCCTGTAGAGAAGCATGCCTGACTTAAGGCTACTTTGGGAGGCCTTGGGCTGTGGATGCCACGACAGTGGACACCCTGACAGCCCCATCATTGAATGTTTAATGTGTTCAAAATGTGGGAACCTGTGCTAAACATGTCTTATACATGTCTAAGACATGTTTGCGACATGTTGTAGACACCTGGAAATGATTTGGCAACATGCCTCCTCTCCATTGTCGGCGGTGGACAAGCCTCCCTTTAGTTGACCTCCCCTTAGTGACAACGGCCTGGGGCCGAAACCGACGGACCTGGACCCGCAAAAACGACGGCCGCGACGCCCTCTCGCGAACCGACAACGGCCAATACCTGAATCGACGTGTCAGGGTAGGAGGTCTGTCAACCTCTGATTCGTGTGTTTAGAATGTGGGAACATGTTCTGAACATGCCTTATGCATGTCTGAGACGTGTTTGCGACAGGTGTTAGACACCTGGGAATTATTCCGCAACATGCCTCCTCTCCTTTGGACGCCCGAAATGGGTACGGAAAGAATGGGTAAAATGCCCAACAGCAAATGTTGTCCCAAACCAACAGCGGCCGCTGTTGGGCAGGCGGCCTTCTGTCTCGAATGGACACAGGCCGCGGCGGCGTGGACAGCGAATCCGGTTCAAAATGAGCAGGAACTGCTGCTGGGCATCGTGCCCATTCTTTCCGTGCCCATCTCGTTCGTGCCGAGAAATCATTTGGCAACGTGCCTCCTCTCCGTTGCTCGTTGGGCATCGTGCCCATTCTTTCCGTACCCATTTCGCCCGCGCCTCCTCTCCACTGCTCGTCCTCAACGAGCCTCGCGATCCGCTGTTGGGCATTGTACCCATTCTTTCGGTACCCATTTCGGGCGTCCAGGCTGGAGAGCATGCCTCCTCTCCATTGCTCGTTGGGCATCGTGCCCATTCTTTCCGTGCCCATCTCGTTCGTGCCTCTTCTCCATTGCTCGTCCTCCACGAGCCTCGCGAGGCCCTCTCGGGGCGCGGGGCCCGCGGCCGGGGTCCCGCACATGCGCGGCCGCACATGGGCCGGCCGGCCGCCGGAGGCCGCGCCTCGGCCGCGCCTGGTGCGGGGCCCCTCTCGCGGGGGCCCTGCTCCTCCCCCCCCCCTCCCCTTCCTCTTCCTAGTCCTCGTCCTGTCCTCCTCCTCCTCCTCCTCCTCCTCCTCCTCCTCCTCCTCCTCCTCCTCCTCCTCCTCTTCCTCCTCCTGATCCACCCTCTGCATCATTCTTCGGGGGCCACATGCGAACCCTACCCCTGCCCCCCACGATTTCTGAGGGGGAGGGTGGGGTTCACTTCGCTCGGGAGCTCCCGAGCGAAGAAGTGAACCCCACCCTCCCCCTCAGAAATCGTGGGGGGTAGGGGTAGGGTTCGCGTGTGGCCCCCTAGTCCGGAGGCCGGCGCCTCGCGCGGCGCCCGGCCGCCGAGGTGCCGGCGCCCTGGCCGACGGCGCTCGGCGGCGAGCCGGGGGGCGGAAGGTCAAACATGGATTATGCAGTCGGACTTGACCAGGGAGAGGAGGGCCACGTGGCCACAGAAGTGCCGGAGGCACGGGTCGCTTAAGACACAAGATACGAGGGTGTACCCTCCCTCGGGTGCCGTCCGGAGGCCAGCGCCTCGCGCGGCGCCCGGCCGCAGACGTGCCGGCGCCCTGACCGACAGCACTCGGCGGCGAGCCCGGGGTGGAAGGTCGGGGGCGCGCAAGCTCAGGACTCGAACTCTGTGCACCGACGCTCCCACCTGCCCTGCACTGGAATCTGCACTGGAGAGCGGATCCTCATGTATACGGGACCCTGGTGTATACATTTGTTGTTGCTTTCCTGGGACATCGGGGAAACAAGCATACACCACACCTCCCCAGCGTCGTCCTCGACCCTCAAGAGGTCCTGGGACCCGGTGGGATTGAAAAACAGCCCGCCACTGGCGATGTACGTGTTTCAGTTTCCGACAAACATGGACTATAGCGATCCATGGATTTGGCGCGCGGTCACCAAATTCATGGATCGCGGGAGGCGCCCTCCCCAGAATGCGGCCGGTGCCGCCTCGCTCGGCGGTGGAAAGCCGCGATTTCCCAGGGAGGCGGGACCCGTCGCCAATCCACGCCCCCTTGAGCCATGCTTGCGATCGCCTGAGAGGCGAGAAGGGGCGGGCCTTCGCAGAAGGCTCGGGAGCCCCCCCGGGCTTCAAGTTTTTTCGAAGCCTTCCCCGAAGACGCGAAAGACTTCTCAGAAGGCGCGACGACTTCTGAGGAGTCCCGCCGCCTTCTGAGAATGCCTTCTCATGCTCATTCCCCCCTCGCTCGCAACCGAACCACGGCGGATTTTGGCGATGTTCGGCCTCCAGAGGCCCTCGCCGGGCATCGGGGCCGGCAAGAAGCGGCTCGGGACGAACACGCGGCCCTGGGGCAGGAAGGGGTTGGAGTTCCTGGGCCACGAGAGGGCCACACAGCATGTCCTGGCAATGCCTCCAATTTGGACGCCCGAAATGGGTACCGAAAAGATGGGTACAATGCCCAACAGCAAATGATGCCCCGAACCAACAGCGGCCGCCGTTGGGCAGGCGGCCTTCTGTCTCGAATGGACACAGGCCGCGGCGGCGTGGACAGCGAGCCCTGTTCAAAATGAGCAGGAACTGCTGCTGGGCATCGTGCCCATTCTTTCCGTGCCCATCTCGTTCGTGCCGAGAAATCATTTGGCAACGTGCCTCCTCTCCGTTGCTCGTTGGGCATCGTACCCATTCTTTCCGTACCCATTTCGCTCGTGCCTCCTCTCCATTGCTCGTCCTCCACGAGCCTCGCGAGGCCCTCTCGGGGCAGGGGGGCCCGCGGCTGGGGCCCCGCACATGCGCGGCCGCATATGGGCCAGCCAGGCGCTGGAGGCCGCGTCGGCCGCGCATGGTGCGCGCGGCCCCTCGCGCGCGGGGGTGCCGCCCGGAGGCCGGCGCCTCTTCCCGCGCGGCGCCCGGCCGCTGACGTGCCGGCGCCCTGGCCTGAAGTCGGGCCTGTCCCCCTATACAGGGGGATTTTCGGCGAAGGTGGATTTTGGCAATGTTCGGCCTCCAGGGGCCCTCGCCGGGCATCGGGGCCGACAAGAAGGGGTTGGAGTTCCTGGGCCACGAGGGGGCCACACAGCATGTCCTGGCACTGCCTCCAAACGAGACGCGAGCCCACGGCGGCCGGCCGCGGGGCCGGCCGCGGGCCCGCCTGGGCCAGCTGCTGCTCGATGGCGTAGCACCAGGACGCCGTACCTCGCCGCCGGCGCGGGCGGGCGGCGGGGGAGAGGGAGGGGGGGGAGGAGGAGGAGGAGGAGGAGGAGGAGGAGGAGGGGAGGAGGAGGAGAGGAGGAGGAGGAGGAGGAGAGGAGGAGGAGGAGGAGGAGGAGGAGGAGGGAGGAGGAGGAGGGGGAGGAGGAGGGGAGGAGGAGGAGGAGGAGGAGGAGGGAGGGGGAGGAGGAGGAGGAGGAGGGGAGGGGGGGGGGGGGCGGGCGGGCAGGCCGTGGTCTAGAAGGGAGAGGTGACCAACCCAAACAGGACCCCTGACCCTTCGGAAGGGGGCCCGAACTGAGGAGGGCAGGAGGGCCAAGAAAAGCATCGGGGAAGTAGGGGGGTCTTGCCTGCGGGTGTACCGACCCCAACCGCCCAGAACTAGGACCCCGACTGCGCGGACGTAGATCTCAGTGAGGCCACGCCTTCATGGTGATGTCAGGGTCGGGGGCTCTTCTGCTCCCGATGGGGAGAGAGCGAGAGAGAGAGAGAGAGATGGAGAGAACCCAGAGGAGCGGGGGGACCCAGACCTCCCCGTGGACAGCTCTCAGAAGCCTCCTAGATGGGATCGGAGCAGATGCGGTCGGAGGAGGATCGCGCCGCATCGGCGATGCATCGGCGATGCATCGGCAATGTACCGGCGATGCATCGGCGCCGTCGGCGTGAAGCACATCGGGCTCCACGCCGAGCCGCACCGGCGATCGGCGCGATCCTCCGACCCCATCTGCTCCGACCCCACCCAGGAGGCCTAGAGCGCTGCTGTGCGCACGCGAGAGGAGCGCCCCCGGGGCAAGAGAGCGCCCCATCTTGGTGCGCGGGGCTCCCGGGGGGGGGGGGGGAAGGCGGCCGCGGGCACGCCGGCTCTGGGGGGGGAAGCACCCCCGCTCGGCCCGCACCAAGAAGGCCACGCGGGGCGAAGGGTCCCTCGCACGCGTGGCCGAACGTACGGTCGACGCGTATCACAAGGATGCGCGGCAAGGATGCAGGGGCCTTGGATTGCCGTTCCGAAGCTCTTCGAGCGGGGCGCGGCCAGCGAGAGTGTCCAAGGATGGACCGAGGAGGCAAGGATGCAAGGGCACCCTTTAGGAAAATTGCCGATCCTTGCTAGGCGGGTCGACTGAAAGAAAATCTTGCTGTGAGGAATATTGGGAATCTTGGGGCGCATTCTCGGTGGATGGTTCAGGGACCTGGCCCCAGAGATTCTGTGGGCCCCCAGGGCCATTGGCGGTGATCAACTTTTGTGAGGCACCTGCTGGTAGGCCGAATTCTTATTTGATGTGAATTCTGATTTGATGCGCCTGCTGTAGGAGCGAGGAGGACTGGCGCCGACATCATCATCACAAGGCGCAGTGGAGGGTCCTCGCAATGCTGTGGTGCCACTGTCGTTCGGCGTCCCGCTCGAAACGTCTCCACTCTCCAGCTCTGGGAGGCACCGTGAACCTCCTCGGCAGGGTTGGCCCTGCTGGTGGTGTTAAGTGTCGCTTCTACTTCCTCCGATACGGGCCATGAGCGACACGACGAAGCATCCGAAGCAAACGTCCGCGGGTCGCAGTCCCTTTCTTACCGCCGTCGCCGGTGCGCCGAGGAGGTCGAGTGCGGCGAGGAGGGCCTGCCGCTGCCGCTCCCGCCCCTGTTGGCGTCAGGCTCCAGCTGGGCAGAAGCATGTCGTAACGTCGCAGCAGCGCTCGCTGGCCCTTGACCCTGCCTTCGTCTCATTCAGACCTTCATTGAGCTCACGATCGCCTCCAGCTCCGCCTGCGGGTGCCCCCAAACAGTGCGCTGGTGACACCGTGCACAGAATCTACCATCATCTGGGTGCAACGGGCCACTTCGGGACACTCATACCGGAACCGTTCTCCGACGGAAGCCTCGAGCGCCTAAGCACTCCAGAGTCCCAATGCCGTCCAGTGACGGTCCGTCTGGTAATGTCCTCGGGATTCCGAGGCCATCGGACGGTCTGTCACCAGAAGGCTTGAGGGCCCCATGCACAGGCCGCGCCGCTTCGTGCGACAGCCGTGTATACAGCATTGTGTGTGCTCACACGGTCGATCGCGCTGATCCCAGTGGCGCCGAGAAGCCAGACCACGAGGCAGTGCAAGCACCGAAACAACGCATCCCCCCTATTTCCTCGCAACGACTCGCTGCGGTCGGGAGCTTTTTCTTAGCGTGTCGCGGCGGCGGCGGCTCCGGCGACAGGCTACCCCTTGCCAGCGGCTGGCGTTGTCGAGCCGCTCCGCGGGTCGGGGCCCTGGGGAAGACTCGGGACGCTCACGCCTGGAAGCCGAGACGTGGACAGCGTGTCGCGCCGGAGCGTGGTGAGCCTAAACTCCGGCAGAGCGACACGCGGCGCATCCAAACGCTCCCGACCTAGTACGCCTTCCCTGAGCACGGGGGCCCCCGGCGCCTCCGCGAGGTTGTGAACGGTCGTGGCGGCCCGAGGGGCCGCCGTTGTCTCCGGGGCGTCGGTCGCCGCTGCGGTCGCGAACGGGTCGGCCGCCGCCGCAGGTGCGAACGGGCTGCCGTCTGCGGGCGGTGCGGCCGCGGCGGCGCCGTCGAAGCCGCCGCCCCCGTGCTCCAGGTAGACGCCCGTGGGCACGACGGGGTCGTACAGGAGGCCGCACATGCCGCAGACCTCGACCTGCGGACGGCGGGGGGGGAGCCCAGGTTCTGCCAAGAGCTTCCAAGCTCTTTCGACAGGCCTCTCGAAGTCCTTCTGGAGCTCCGCCACCAAGACTCTGGATACAACAAACATCCGTGCCCTCGCGGTCTGGATCCTGGGGCGCGGTCCCGCGGGTACGCGTTCGCACGGGCACGCCTCGCGAAAGGCCTCCGCGAGCAACAACGCTCCGGCTCCGCGGGGTCGCGGCAAAGGGGCCTGGCCCGCGAGGCCGCGGGTACGATGAAAGCTATCATGACTGCTTGGCGGGGGTAAAAACAGCCCTGCCAACCCGCGGCCCGTCCCCTGCGCGCCCCGCTTCGAGGCCCGCAGCCGGGGCCTTCGGAGGCCCCCCCTCGCAGCCGACGCCCTCCGTGGGCTTGCTGTCCCAGCCGCAGTAGGCGCGGTCGTCCTCGTGCTGCAGCAGGCGGATGTCCCCGTGCTCGCCCCAATCCCTGCCACGCGCGGGCCCATCTCACCTCCTCCTCCTCCTCCTCCTCCTCCTCCTCCTCCTCCGCCTCTTCCTCCTCTTCCTCCGCCTCATCCTCCTCCTTCTCCTCCTCCTTCTACTCCTCTTTCTATTTCTCCTCCTCCTCCTCTTACTCGTTCTCCTCCTCCTCTTCCTCCTCCTTCTCTCCTCCTCCTCCTCCTCCTCCTCCTCCTCCTCCTCTTCCTCCTCATTTCCTCCTTTCACGCGCTGATTATTGCGCCTCCTGTGGAGGAGGCGGAAGAGGATTAGAAAGGAGGAGGAGGGGTGGATGCCGGAATGGATGAGTGGATGGATGAAGGAGAGGACGAGGAACAGAGGATGATGACGGGGGGTGACGAGGAAGACAAGAGCAAACGAAGGTGAGGGGCCTTCCCCACGAGTTCTGAATCGTCCAGTACTTCTTGCCACCCTCGTCGCCGTAGCCCTTCAGCAACACCGCGTGGCTCAGCACGGCGTCCTTGGGGCAGCCGTCGAAGATCCCGGCGTCGTAGTTGAACCAATCGCCGCCATCCACGGCCACAACGATAGGGCCGGTCTCCACGAGCGCCTGCTTCATGGGGCCTGCCTGGTTACTGGGCAGGTTGGTCCAGCCGCCCACCCGCGCTCGCGTGCCCGTGAACGTAGACTGCAGGAAGCTGCTGCCGCAAACACCTGCCCCGCGGGACTCAGCTCTTGCGTCCTCCCTTCCTTCTCTCGCCTGATGCTGCCGTTCTGTCCCCGCCTCTCCCACACCCGTGTCCTTCGCTCCACCTCTCCCTTGAGGGGCGAGATCGGGGGGGTAGGCATGGGGCGGCGGCACACCGACCTGGCACCGGCGATACATCGTCGATAGACCGGCGATCGGCCCCCGATAGCAAATCCGCACCTTCTTGGGCGGGGTAGGGCTATCGGGTCCCTCTCGGCGAACAATGGGCGATTGAGGGTCCATGCATCCCACCACTGTGCCTATCCCCCCCCCCTATCGTTGCCCCCGATCCCTGCTGCTGCTCCTGCCCCTGCTCACGCCGCTGCTGCTTCCTGCCCCTCTTCCCGCTACGGACGTCGCCGCTGCTGGTGCTGCTGCTGCCGCGCGGCCCGGTGGTGGTGGAGCTGCTGCGCCAGTGCGGGTCACGCCACGTGTCACTCCTGGCCCACGGCGTATGCATAGCCTTAGGTCGGGAATGTCCACCTGCGCGATTTTGGACGAAAGAACATAATCACACAATAAACCCCAAAATGCTGAAAAAGACTCCGGAGATCGTCCCCGGACGACTGTTTGAATGTTTTTGGACGTTCCTCCTGCAGAGGGACAGGCCCGACTTGAGCATAGCAGAAGAGAACGCGACACACACACACACATATATATGTATATATCATGTATATATACATGATATACATATACATATATATATATATATATATATATATATATATATATGTGTATTTGGGCGCTCCGCGCGGATTTCTAGGATCTGCGCAAGACCCCCCTCCCTGGCGCGCTCCGCGCGCCAGGGGCGGCGCCGGAGGCGCCGGCCCAGCGCCGACCCATGGCAGCCGTGCGGAGCGCCGGAAACTTCTGTTTATGGCGTGTTCGGTCTTCTTCGGCGGCAGCCCTCTCGGGTCGGGCGAAAGGGGGGGATAGCAAAGGGGGGGTTTGATAATCAGCTCACGTAACTGATTTTCCCGGCGCCTCCCGGCGCTAGAGGCGGCTATGCATCGAAGAATGGGCCCCTCGGCGAGGCCGAAACCAGCTGCATATGCAGCACATTTCGTAGCCCCCTCTTTCCCAATCCCCCCCTTTCGTCCGGCCCGATCTTCGGAGGCAGCCCTCACCTTGCAGCCGGAGGCGCCGCTGGGGAGGGGGGGGGCAGCGCGGATCCAACACGTCCGTGCGGAGCGCCAAAGGAGTTTCTGCCTATGGTGTTGTCCTCCTTCGAACTAGGAGCTTCTCAGGAGTCCTCGCGCCTCCCGAGAAGTTGTTTGCTGCGTCTTCGGGGAGGGCTTCGCAAAAACGTCTCAGAAAGCCAGGGAGCTCCCGCGGCCTTCTGAGAAGGCCTTTTCCTTCTCACTTTCCCCCCCTCGCTCGCCGCCGAGAGCCCTGCGGCCGGCGCCTCACGCCGACGGCACGCGACGTCTCCCTCCATCCAGCGGGGCTCGCCGCCCACACATCCGTGCGAAGGCAGGAGCCACACGCAGAGGCGCGTCGACCAGCAGGGAGGCGCTGGCCCCTTCCAGGACCACCAATGCTATGTCGGGCATTTCTTCCTGCAGGCGGATTTTGGAGGGGAAAGAAGAATAGCCAAACAAGTATGCGAAGATGGTCAAATAAGAATAGAAGAATCGTGCCCAGACTATTGTTTGACTATTTTCGATGATCCCTCCTGTAGGGGGACTGGCCCGACTTACGCCTTGCATGCAGGCCCGTATGCGTCGATGTCTTGCCGTGCCAGCTGGCGGCCTTGACGTTCTCCCAATAGGTTCCCAGGCACGGCGGACTACCACCAGAAGAACTTTGCGCGACGACCGCTGCTCCGACCAACAACGTACGTACCCCTGCCCACAACCGACTTCCTCTCCTCATCCTGCGGTCGGGAGACGGCATGTCTCCCTGCGTGGCACGAAATTGCAGCCAGTTCCATCCACCAGGCCCTCATCGTTTGATGTGCGCCCGCCAGGAAGGACACCAGAAACGCCGACAGCGCCGACTCAATCACGGAAGCCAGCACACACACCATGGCCACCGCCACCACCATCGCCACCCCAACCACGACACCGTCGTTAAGTCGGGCGTGTCCCCCTACAGGGGAATTTTCGACGAAAAAGAAAAAATACCCCAAAAATAATCAAAACATAATCCAAACATAGTCTGGTGACTATGTTTTCAATATGTTTAACATGTTTGATGTATTGTTTGATTTGTTTTATTCGTCGTCGAAAATCCCACTGCACAGGGGGACAGGCCCGACTTGACACCATCGCCGCTGCAACGACGATGTTTGTGTTCTGCTATGCCAGAGGCCTCCCAGGTGGGGTCCGAGCAGCTGGGGTCGGAGGATCGCGCCGCACCGCCAGCGCATCGCTGCTGCGCCTCCCCTCCTCCCCCCCTCCTCCCCCCCCCCCCTCCTCCTCCTCCTCCTCCTCCTCCTCCTCCTCCTCCTCCCCTCCTCCTCCTCCTTCCTCCTCCTCCTCCCTCCTCCTCCTCCTCCTCCCCTCCCTCCTCCTCCCCTCCTCCTCCTCCTCCTCTGTCCTCCTCCTCCTCCTCCTCCTCCTCCTCCTCCTCCTCCTCCTCCTCCTCCTCCTCCTCCTCCTCCTCCTCCCCCAAGAGGTGGCCGCCGCCCCGGGGGGCCTGTGCGGCCCGTGTACGGCGCCTCGGCGTCCACGGGGATGCCGTGGTCCCGCATGTACTCGTAGGCGAGCTCTCCCGTGGCGCCGTCGCAACCGCCAGAGCCCCCGCACTTGCGCGGGTTGGGCACGCAGTCGACGAGCGCCTGCCGGCAGCTGCAGGGGCGGCAGCGGCGGCGATCGCATCCGGGAGCACGGGCCCCCTCGTCCTCTGGCAGGCGGCTCAAACACGGCCAACTAGCACCAGCAGCAAATCATCGGAGGTGATGGGGGTGAGATCGAAGTGGAGCGGAGAGCCCCCCTACCCCCCAGGATTTCTGAGTGGGGAAGGTGGGGTTCGAACTTCGCTCGGGAGCGCCCGAGCCCCACCCTCCTCACTTCAGAAATCGTGGGGGCTAGGGGCAGGGTTCGCGTGTGGCCCCCTATGCTGGCAGCTGCAGGGGCGGCAGCGGCGGCGATGGCATCAGGAGCACGGGTCTCCTCGTCCTCTGGCAGGCGGCTCAAACACGGCCAACTAGCACCAGCAACAAATTATCGGAGGTGAGGGGGTGAGATCGAAGTGGAACGGAGAGCCCCCTTACCCCCCAGGATTTCTGAGCGGGGAGGGTGGGGTTCACTTCGCTCGGGAGCGCCCGAGCCCCACCCTCCCCACTTCAGAAATCGTGGGGGGTAGGGGCAGGGTGCGCATGTGGCCCCCTATGCTGGCAGCTGCAGGGGCGGCAACGGCGGCGATCGCATCGGGAGCACGGGCCCTCGTCTTCTGGCAGGCGGCTCAAACACGGCCACCTAGCACTATGCTGGCAGCTGCAGGGGCGGCAGCGGCGGCGATCGCAGCAGGAGCACGGGTCTCCTCGTCCTCTGGCAGGCGGCTCAAACACGGCCAACTAGCACCAGCAACAAATTATCGGGGGTGAGGGGGTGAGATCGAAGTGGAACGGAGAGCCCCCCTACCCCCCAGGATTTCTGAGCGGGGAGGGAGGGGTTCACTTCGCTCGGGAGCGCCCGAGCCCCACCCTCCCCACTCAGAAATCGTAGGGGCTAGGGGCAGGGTGCGCATGTGGCCCCCTGTGCTGGCAGCTGCAGGGGCGGCAGCGGCGGCGATCGCATCGGGAGCACGGGCCCTCGTCTTCTGGCAGGCGGCTCAAACACGGCCAACTAGCACAAGCAACAAATTATCGGAGTGATGGGGGTGAGATCGAAGTGGAAAGGAGAGCCCCCCTACCCCCCAGGATTTCTGAGCGGGGAGGGTGGGGTTCACTTCGCTCGGGAGCGCCCGAGCCCCACCCTCCCCACTTCAGAAATCGTGGGGGGTAGGGGCAGGGTGCGCATGTGGCCCCCTATGCTGGCAGCTGCAGGGGCGGCAACGGCGGCGATCGCATCGGGAGCACGGGCCCTCGTCTTCTGGCAGGCGGCTCAAACACGGCCACCTAGCACTATGCTGGCAGCTGCAGGGGCGGCAGCGGCGGCGATCGCAGCAGGAGCACGGGTCTCCTCGTCTGCTGGCGGGCAGCTCCGACACGGCCAGCTGGCACCAGCGACAAGTTACATCCCGAGCTCTTCGCGTGCGCCTACAGCGGTGCTTCACACTGAGGGGGGGCTCGATGTCTCACGGACTCTTCGGGACACATCCGAGGCCGCAGACACCCCGACAAAACTTCGTTGCTACTAAGAAACGATTCTGGGGAGGAGGAGGAGGAGGAGGAGGAGGAGGAGGAGGAGGAGGAGGAGGAGGAGGAGATGGGGCGCTCGCTCGGGCGCTGGCGGGGCCCCTTCTTGCGCGGGCTGGGCCCGCACGGGCGTGTGAGCCCCGCGGGCCTCGCCGCCCTGGCTGCCAGCCCTGGGTGCCCCAAGCCCTGGGTGTCCTCTGCCCTTTTCGCCTCGTCGTTCCTTCCCCCCTCTCCTCTGTGCTCCTGTACCTCGTCGTCGTCGTGGTCCGAATCTTGCAGGTCCGCCTGGGGCTATCCTTAGGCCGGGCACGTCCACCTGGAGGCAAATTTGGGGCGACAAAAGACAAGTCAAGAAAGGATCCCAAATAGTCAAAGATTCTCAACACATCGTCCCCAGACTATGTTTAGCTCTTTCTGAGTATCCCTCCTGTGGAGGGGCACGCCCGACTAAGGGCTATTCCTGTCCCGCTGCACAGCACGGAGCGGATCCGAGGCACGAGGGCTGCCCTCGTCGCGTGCTTTGGGCGGACCTCGCACGTTTGGGACCGAGCGTCTGCCAGAAGCTGGAGGGGGAGGAAGAGGAGGAGGAGGAGAAGGAATGATGATGACGTTGGCAAGTGCTGGGGACACCAAAAGGTACCGATACCGCTACCTCTCGGGGCCTGACCTGGGGTGCGTCCTGGCCAGGACTTCGAGGCGAAGCCAGCGGTGGCGACGAGGGCCTCCGAGGAGGCCCCAACAGGGGAAAACGAGAGCAGAGTAGCGGTATGGGTACCTGTTTGTTTCCCCTGAGTTGCGACGACGATGACGAGGGTCATCGTCATCGTCATCGAACGGGACGCTCGTTCGGACGAGTGCCAGTACCCTTCAGTCGGGCCTGTCTCCCATACAGGGGGATTCTGGAGGAAAGATACAACATTAAGTCCAAAAATGCGCCAAAACGGGCAAACAGAATGATCAACAAATAGTACCCAGACTATTTTTCGACTATTTTTGGATTCTCCTCCTGCACAGGGACTTCTTCTCCACCTCCTCCTCCTCCTCCTCCTCCTCCTCCTCCTCCTCCTCCTCCCCTTCCCCTTCCCCTTCCGCTTCCTCCTCCTCCTCCTCCTCCGCCTCCTCCTCCGCCACGTCTTCATTTACCTCCGACGTCTTGTCACGCATCCCGTCACCCTCGAGGACCGAGGTCTCCGGGGTCGGCGGCACTGGTCGTGAGGCCTCAGCAGGACTCCTCCTGCAGATGGACGGGCCCCGTCTTGACAGGACCCCTCTCACTTGGGGGGGGGGGGGGACGCGGGCGAAGCCGCGGACCCTCGCGGCGGGGCGGGGGGGGCGCGAGAACCGCTCTGCGCGGGAGGCCGGCCCGTCGGGGTAGGAAGCCGCAGCGGAGCTCGCGACGAGTGGCGTCTCCTCCATGCGGTGGCGAGGCGTCCTGGCTCCCCCTCCTTGTCCTTGTCCTTCTCCTCCTCCTCCTCCTCCTCCTCCTCCTCCTCCTTTTCCTTTTCCTCCTCCTCCTCCTCCTTCTCCTCCTTCTCCTCCTCCTCCTCCTCCTCCTCCTCCTCCTCCTCCTCCTCCTCCTCCTCTCGCTCCTCCATCCTCGCACCTCCCTGAGAGCCAGAGAGGCGGCGCGCGGGTCTCCCGCGGCCGGCTTCGGGGCCCAAGGCCCGCAGAGAAAACGGCCCGACGAGGAGAGGGCCCCCGGGATGGGGCGCACAGGGACATATACTAATGCTATATTGAAGGGGCCCAAGGACACACACATAAATACACACATACGTAGCACCCCGCAATTGCGGATAAGAGCGACGGGGCGGGCGCGGGCGACGCGGGCGTCGTCGAGCCGGCGGACCTCGTGGCCCCCACCTTCCCTGTCGATGGCGCTCTCTTCCTCCTCCTCCTCCTCCTCCTCCTCCTCCTCCTCCTCTTCCTCGTCCTCGTCTCATCGTCATCTCATTATCCTCCTCCACCTCGTCCTCCTCCTCCTCCTCCTCTTCTTCCTCGTCCTCCCTCTCCCCCCCTCGTCCTTTCATCATCGTCCTCCCATTGTCGTCCTCCCCCTCATCGGCCTCCATCATCGTCCTCCCATTGTCGTCCATCATCATCCTCCCCTCCTCCTCCTCGTCCTCCTCCCCCCTCCTCCCCCTCCTCGTCCTCCTCCTCCCCCTCCTCCCCCTCCTCGTCCTCCTGCTCCTCGTCCTCCTCTTTTTCCACATTCTCCTTACATCCTCTCTTCTTCCGCGTCCTCCTCGAGCCCTGTTTACTCCTCCTGCCTCCCCCTCCTTTCCCGAGATAACGGCAACGCGATCCTTTTTTCCACTTTATGCTCCCCGACTTCTCTGATCAAGGCAACTCGCCAGGGCAAGTTGCTGGACGGGCTGGTGAAGAGGTCCTTGCGGGCTCAGACGGCATGCAAAAATCCGCCGCCGCGCTTGTGCGGCATTGGTTTGTGCAGTGAACGTGGTCTGGGTCGCGGATGAGTCGCGGGCTCTCGACCTCCACCTGGAAGGAATGCAAAAGCAGCCCGCCGCAGGCGCCCAAAAATTTGGTTTGTACACTGAACGTGGTTTGGGTCGCGGGTGGGCCGCGGGTTCTCCACCGGGAGCAAATGCAAAATGTGCCCGCCGCAGGCGCCGAAAAATTTGGCTTGTACCCTGAACGTGGTCGCGGGTGGGCCGCGAGCTCTCCACTTAAACCGACTGCAAAAGATGCCCGCCGCAGGCGCCGAAACATGTGGTTTGTACCCTGAACGTGGTTTGGGTCGCGGGTTGGTCGCAAGTTGGTCACGGGGTGGGTCGCGGGCTCTCCACCTGGAAGAAATGCAAAAAAACCAGCCGCAGGCGCCGAAAATGGTTTGTACCTTGAACGTGGTTTGGGTCGAAGGTGGGTCGCGGGGGGGCCGCGGGGTGGGTCGCGGGTGGGTCGCGGGTGGGTCGGGTGTGGGGCGCGTGTGGGTCGCGCGCGGGTGGGTCGCGGATGGGTCGCGGGGTGGGCCGCGGGCGGGTCGCGGGGTGGGTCGCGGGGTGGGTCGCGGGGTGGGTCGCGGGGGGTCGCGGGGTGGGTCGCGGGGTGGGTCGCGGGTGGGTCGCGGGTGGGTCGCGGGTGGGTCGCGGGGTGGGTCGCGGGGTGGGTCGGGTGGGTCGGGGTGGGTCCGGGTGGGTCGCGGGGCGGGTTGCGGGTGGGACGACGACAACAAACAACAACAACAACAACAACAACAACAACAACAACAACAACAACAACAACAACAACAACAACAACAACAATCATTTTACCCGAACGCTCAGTGTTCTCCCCAGTGCCAGGGTTTTCTTGCGACACCAGCCAATACCCCCACTTCGTGGGGGGGCCGTTCAAGCTCTACCAAATATCCAAACGACTCTTCGAGACCACCCACACCCAGCTTCCCGCCCTATGACGTTGGGACACTTCACTTCGTGGCGTGCGGACGACCCTGGCTACTACACTGGCGTGGGGTACACACCCACAGAGGTTGATCACATCTGTTACATATGATGTGGTACACGGTACACGTGAGATGGTACGCAGTGCCAAGATAGTTGGTCACATTTTTGGGGCAAATTCGTGGGGATGCGATTACAGAAGTACATGTGTTACACTGATGTTATACAGTCCCAAGGATGACGCATGCATTGCTCATAGACTCATGGCGCTATGATCCTAACTCTCAGTGCCCAACGCGCGCGTGCACAGCCAGACGGAGGGAGAGAAACACATGTATACAAGGTTCGTGACATACGCACGGTCCACCATGTTGTAAACGATCGCATGCACGGTAAGTTCTGAAATTATACGTATGTACAAGCAGACATGCGAGGGAGAAAGGGAGATGGCCATCGACAGTTCCAATACGGCTCCAAGGCGGAAGAGGGGGAGGAGGAGCAGGACAAGGAGGAAAGGAGAGAAGCGAGAAAGGAAGAACGCAGACGGCGCGGCTCTGGACACAAAGGGGTGCCATACTTTCTCCTGCTTTCGCAAACAGGTCCAGTCACACGTAGGGGTATACTCAACCGAATGGTCTTCGCATCCAGAAGCATACTAAAGGCGCGACGCATCGTCGTCTGCGATGGCGCGGAAACCGTTGTTGGAGAAGTTCAAAGCACCTGAAGAAGTAGCACGCAAAGACCCTTTTGACAGAAATGTTTAAAAAGTGGTGTGTTTCCTATGAATCCGCAAGAGCGCGCGGAAGGACATTTTGACAATTTTTTCTTAAAAAACCATTGGGTTTTTGATGTTTTTATGTTAAAATCGCTACGAAACCTAAGGTTTTGGAAGGATTTCGTCTTGCGAGCGCGAATGTCCACTTTACCTTATTTTTTGCAAGGGATTCTTGAAATTTGATCAACTAAGAACAAGAATTTTCATTTTCTATTGTTTTTTGCAAGGGAAAACGAGCGTCAACAAAAAACCGGATCCGGGGGTAATCCACTTTTCTGAAGCTTTCGCAGAAAAATGATGAAAATGTAGCTGCGGCCTAGGTTTTGGGCGGGGGGCGTGCACCAGGGGGTCCAACAATAATAATTCTTTAGAAGTAATAGTGTTCAACAAGAACAACAACAACGACAAGAACAACAACAACAACAACAACAACACCAACAACAACAACAACAACCACAACCACAACCACAACAACAACAACACCACCAACAACAACCACAACACCAACAACAGCAACAACAACACCGACAACAACAACAACAACCACAACAACAACAACAACAAACACAACAACACCAGCACCAACACCAACAACAGCAGCAGCAACAACAACACCAACAACAGCACCAACAGCGGCAACAACAACAACAGCAACAGCAGCAACAACACCACCACCACCACAACCACCACCAACAACAACAACAACAATTACAACAACAACAACAACACCAACACCAACACCACCAACAACAACAACAACAACAACAACAACAACAACAACAAACAACAACAAGACGAATCCGCACCGCGGAATTCCACTTCAGCCACGCACCCAGGGACAGTGAATGACCGTTCGGCCCCCTCACTCTGATAAAATTACCCTGGCGACGTACCCAACCCCTGCGCAAAAGCTGGGCGCAAATAGTTTAGGATACTTTATATGGCGGCGATGACGGAGCGAGGGTTACATCTGTCTGCAGACGAAATTCGGGAGACTCGCAGGACACTGGCTACAGGAAAAGGGCTTGATAAAGCTGATGAGTTACAATTCCTGAGCACTCCTAGCCACTTCGAAAACGGGGATCACAGCAGGCCTCGAACGTGGCGACAGTTTCACAGATCGCAGCCAGCAGGGAGTGGCGACAGTTTCACAGATCTAATTTGGGGCGAGGTCCATTTGAATCTGCCCGTGGCGTCACTGCGCTGGGCCCCCCAGCAGGCCTCGAAAGTGGCGACAGTTTCACAGATCGCAGCCCCCAGGGATGGCGAGGTCTCATTTGAATCTGCCCGTGGCGTCACTGTGCTGGGCCCCCCAGCAGGCCTCGAAAATGGCGACAGTTTCACAGATCGCAGCCCCCCAGGGATGGCGAGGTCTAATTTGAATCCGCCGTGGCGTCACTGTGCTGGGCCCCCCAGCAGGCCTCGAAAATGGCGACAGTTTCACAGATCGCAGCCCCCCAGGGATGGCGAGGTCTAATTTGAATATGCCGTGGCCCTCACTGTGCTGGGCCCCCCAGCAGGCCTCGAAAATGGCGACAGTTTCACAGATCGCAGCCCCCCAGGGATGGCGAGGTCTAATTTGAATCTGCCCGTGGCCCTCACTGTGCTGGGCCCCCCAGCAGGCCTCGAAAATGGCGACAGTTTCACAGATCGCAGCCCCCCAGGGATGGCGAGGTCTAATTTGAATCCGCGCGTGGCCCTCACTGTGCTGGGCCCCCCAGCAGGCCTCGAAAAGTGGCGACAGTTTCACAGATCGCAGCCCCCCAGGGATGGCGAGGTCTAATTTGAATCCGCCCGTGGCCCTCACTGTGCTGGGCCCCCCAGCAGGCCTCGAAAGTGGCGACAGTTTCACAGATCGCAGCCCCCCAGGGATGGCGAGGTCTAATTTGAATCTGCCCGTCGCCCTCACTGTGCTGGGCCCCCCAGCAGGCCTCGAAAATGGCGACAGTTTCACAGATCGCAGCCCCCCAGGGATGGCGAGGTCTAATTTGAATCTGCGCGTCGCCCTCACTGTGCTGGGCCCCCCAGCAGGCCTCGAAAATGGCGACAGTTTCACAGATCGCAGCCCCCCCAGATCGCAGCCCAGGCCTCAGGGACATGGCGAGGATCTAATTTGAATCCGCGCGTGGCCCTCACTGTGCTGGGCCCCCCAGCAGGCCTCGAAAATGGCGACAGTTTCGCAGATCGCAGCCCCCCAGGGATGGCGAGGTCTAATTTGAATCTGCCCGTGGCCCTCACTGTGCTGGGCCCCCCAGCAGGCCTCGAAAATGGCGACAGTTTCACAGATCGCAGCCCCCCAGGGATGGCGAGGTCTAATTTGAAATCACTTTCGAAAATGGCGACAGTTTCACAGATCGCAGCCCCCCAGGGATGGCGAGGTCTAATTTGAACGTGTCACTGTGCTGGGCCCCCCAGCAGGCCTCGAAAATGGCGACAGTTTCACAGATCGCAGCCCCCCAGGGATGGCGAGGTCTAATTTGAATCTGCCCGTGGCCCTCACTGTGCTGGGCCCCCCAGCAGGCCTCGAAAATGGCGACAGTTTCACAGATCGCAGCCCCCCAGGGATGGCGAGGTCTAATTTGAATCTGCGCGTCGCCCTCACTGTGCTGGGCCCCCCAGCAGGCCTCGAAAATGGCGACAGTTTCACAGATCGCAGCCCCCCAGGGATGGCGAGGTCTAATTTGAATCTGCGCGTGGCCCTCACTGTGCTGGGCCCCCCAGCAGGCCTCGAAAATGGCGACAGTTTCACAGATCGCAGCCCCCCGCAGGCAAGACAGGAAGAGGCAGGGAGGGAGGAGGAGGAGGAAGGAAGGAGTGGAGACCACACTGCTCTATTCAAACGACTACCCAACCAAGGAGGGTTTTTTTTTCCGCTGCGGCTGAGCTGCGGCTCTCTAGCCTCACCAAGCGGCCGACGCGCGGCCGCCCGCGCGGGGGATGGAGCTCACGCTACTCGGCCCCCGGCGACGCGCCCTGCTGCTCGGAGAAGCCGCAGGCCCTGAAGAAGATGAAGAGGCAGGGCGTCAACAAGATGGCGAAGGAGCACGCGCAGAAGAGCTTGGAGTACCGCGCGATCCTGATCCACTTCTGGCTCTCCGCCGCCAACAAGCTCTCCTCAACGATGACCGGCTCCTCGAACTCCGCGCTGAATAACCTCACGCGCTCCAGCCTCCTGTTCTCGCTGCTCTGGGTCTCCCGCGAGTCGCCTATGAGGCCGTCGTCCATGAAGCCTCCGTCTGGATCGCGCAGAAGCGTCGCGCGGATGAGCTCCTCAATGTGCTCCAGCCTGGCGACGATAGGCCTGTCCGTCAAGAGCCACCTCACGTTCGGCGTGCAGGGCGGGCGGTTCAGGCTGCCCGGATACGAGATGAGCGGCCGGCGCCCGACCGTCTCCGCGAGGAGCCCGCGCGCGTCAAGGGCGCTCCCGCCCGCACCGCTCTGGTTGCCGCCTCGCACAAGGGCCTCGGTCACCCACTCCACGATCTCGTGAGAAGACGCGTCCCCGTGGACCGCGCTGGCCGCCCTCCGGACGAACAGGGAGATCACCACGTGGTGGTTGGCCAGCTCCCGCTCCTGCGCGAGCACGATGCCGTCCACCTCCTGCGCCAGCGCGTCAGCCATCTCCATCTGCTCGAACGTGTGCTGGCGCAGCTCGGAGGCCTGAGCCTCCAGCTCCGCCTTGGAGGCGTCCACCCAGTCGAGCGTCTGCTTCACGCTATCCGCGGCTTCCCTCCCCTCGGCGGTCTCCCAAGGGGAGCTCGTACCGGCCAGCTCCTGCAGCATGTCCTGATCAGCCTTCGCCATACTCTGCAACTTGTCGTCGAACTCGCCGCTCTTCTCGACCAGCTCCGCTATTCGCCGCTCGAGCTTGCCGATCCTCGCGAGGGGCACCGGCACGTGCCAGAGCTGGAGCTCCACGGGCCAGGTGGCTTGGCGGAACGTGTGCTCGCTCGGGGCATGTACCTCGACGGAGGTCAGCTGGTACTCGTCGAGGTCTCCGTACCTGGTGCCGAGCACCAGCAGCCCCGGCGACCGCCCGGGCTTGAACTCGAGCCTGGGCACCTTTCCGAATGGCTCGGCCACCTCGATGTCCTCCAGCGACCAGGGCTTGTACAGCACCCTCGCCTGCACGTCTCCGTCCTTCACGTGATCGGGCTCCACGTCGATGGGAGACTGCATGCCGCTGTGGCACAGGGCCTCCCAGTCCTCGCCCGCCCTGCTGTAGTCCAGGTCGAAGCCACCGCCCTCCCCCGCGGCCCAGGCGGCCAGGGCCAGCGCTGTAAGGCGCGACCGTGCCGCGAGGGCGGCCAGCGCATTGCGGCCCCCCATCACGAGAGCCAGCCGCGCCGGCGGCCAGCAGGGCGGGGCCCGCCGCGGGGCGCGGCGCTGGAGCCAAAATGGCTACGGAAATACCCAGCCAAGGAGGGTCGGGGAAAAAATAAGAAATCCCCAATATCTTCACATATTTCCCCACATCCTAAGTGGGGTTCTTGTTTTCTCTGCACACCCTCCGCGCAGGATCTCTCCTCCTCCTCCTCCTCCTCCCTCTCCTCTGCTCCTCTTTGCTTCCTCCTCCGCATCATCATCACCATCACCATCACTCCCCACTCATCATCATCATCATCATCATCATCATCATCATCATCATCATCATCATCATCATCATCATCACCATCAGCATCACCATCCCACGATCACTCACCATCATCGGCATCGAACGATCATCATCATCATCACTACTCGCTGACTTGAGGCCTGATTATGGAGGAAGTCTCGAGCGGGAGCCTCGTCTGTGAATGAATCGCGAGGAAGTCTCAGGCGGGAGCCCCCTCCCTGTGGGGCCCGCACTTCATGTTTGAATCCGAGCGGGTCATCCGCAACGTGCAACTGTCGTCACTTTTGGGCTCTTGAGATATGAATATGAAGGAAGTCTCGATCGGGAGCTTCGTCTGTGAGTGAATTGTGAGGAAGTCTCAGGCGGGAGCCCCTCCCTATGGGGCCCGCACTTCATGTTTGAATCCGAGCGGGTCATCCGCAACGCGCAACTGTCGTCACTTTTGGGCTCTTGAGACTTGAATATGGAGGAAGTCTCGAGCGGGAGCCTCGTCTGTGAGTGAATTGTGAGGAAGTCTCAGGCGGGAGCCCCCTCCCTATGGGGCCCGCACTTCATGTTTGAATCCGAGCGGGTCATCCGCAACGTGCAACTGTCGTCACTTTTGGGCTCTTGAGACCTGAATATGGAGGAAGTCTCGAGCGGGAGCCTCGTCTGTGAGTGAATTGTGAGGAAGTCTCAGGCGGGAGCCCCCTCCCTATGGGGCCCGCACTTCATGTTTGAATCCGAGCGGGTCATCCGCAACGTGCAACTGTCGTCACTTTTGGGCTCTTGAGATTTGAATATGGAGGAAGTCTCGAGCGGGAGCCTCGTCTGTGAGTGAATTGTGAGGAAGTCTCAGGCGGGAGCCCCCTCCCTATGGGGCCCGCACTTCATGTTTGAATCCGAGCGGGTCATCCGCAACGTGCAACTGTCGTCACTTTTGGGCTCTTGAGATATGAATATGGAGGAAGTCTCGAGCGGGAGCCTCGTCTGTGAGTGAATTGTGAGGAAGTCTCAGGCGGGAGCCCCCTCCCTATGGGGCCCGCGCTTCATGTTTGAATCCGAGCGGGTCATCCGCAACGTGCAACTGTCGTCACTTTTGGGCTCTTGAGACTTGAATATGGAGGAAGTCTCGAGCGGGAGCCTCGTCTGTGAGTGAATTGTGAGGAAGTCTCAGGCGGGAGCCCCCTCCCTATGGGGCCAGCACTTCATGTTTGAATCCGAGCGGGTCATCCGCAACGTGCAACTGTCGTCACTTTTGGGCTCTTGAGACTTGAATATGGAGGAAGTCTCGAGCGGGAGCCTCGTCTGTGAGTGAATTGTGAGGAAGTCTCAGGCGGGAGCCCCCTCCCTATGGGGCCCGCACTTCACGTTTGAATCCGAGCTGTCATCCGCAACGTGCAACTGTCGTCACTTTTGGGCTCTTGAGACTTGAATATGGAGGAAGTCTCGAGCGGGAGCCTCGTCTGTGAGTGAATTGTGAGGAAGTCTCAGGCGGGAGCCCCCTCCCTATGGGGCCCGCACTTCATGTTTGAATCCGAGCGGGTCATCCGCAACGTGCAACTGTCGTCACTTTTGGGCTCTTGAGACTTGAATATGGAGGAAGTCTCGAGCGGGAGCCTCGTTTGTGAGAGAATTGCGAAGAAATCTCAGGCGGGAGCCCCCTCCCTATAGGGCCCGCGCTTCATGTTTGAATCCGAGCGGGTCATCCGCAACGTGCAACTGTCGTCACTTTTGGGCTCTTGAGATTTGAATATGTAGGAAGTCTCGAGCGGGAGCCTCGTCTGTGAGTGAATTGCGAGGAAGTCTCAGGCGAGAACCCCCTCCCTATGGGGCCAGCACTTCACGTTTGAATCCGAGCAGATCATCCGCAACGTGCAACTGTCGTGACTTTTGGGCTCTTGAGGCCTGAATATGGAGGAAGTCTCAGGCGGGTGCCTCGTCTGTGAGTGAATTGTGAGGAAATCTCAGGCGGGAGCCCCCTCCCTATGGGGCCCGCACTTCATGTTCGAATCCGAGCGGGTCATCCGCAACGTGCAACTGTCGTCACTCTTGGGCTCTTGAGATTTGAATATGGAGGAAGTCTCGAGCGGGAGCCTCGTCTGTGAGTGAATTGTGAGGAAATCTCAAGCGGGAGCCCCCTCCCTATGGGGCCAGCACTTCATGTTCGAATCCGAGCGGGTCATCCGCAACGTGCAACTGTCGTCACTTTTGGGCTCTTGAGATATGAATATGGAGGAAGTCTCGAGCGGGAGCCTCGTCTGTGAGTGAATTGTGAGGAAGTCTCAGGCGGGAGCCCCAGGAGGAAGAGGAAAGGGCAAAGGGTAAGCTAAACATATTCTCATGTGGGGTCCTACCGTCGGAGTAATTTCTAGGTTTCTGTCTTCCGCCCACTTCCCATAGTTTCCTATATTTTCGGGGGCATCGAGGATTAATTGTGTCTGTGTGCTTCTTTTCCTCCTGATAGATGTCCTCTTCGGAGGCGCGCGTCCGACCCGAGCATGTAGTTTACTCCTCTCGTAGCACATCGTTTCCCGAGCGGTGTGGCCAGAGAAAGCGCCCGCCACTGCGGACGCACGGTGAGATTCCTTGGTGCGTGCGTCGCCCCCTGTGGAGGGCGACGCACATATAGTACAAGCATGTTGAGGTGACGCGGATCAAGCAGCGGCGAAGCGTCCTGGCTCCCTACAGGCCCACCAGAGAATGTTCTAAGAGCCTGTTGTGGTCTGCACGACACGTTCTTAGAACATTTCTGGCTGGGACTGTCTTGTCTTAACACGTCGGGCTGATGCTCGAGGAACATTGCGGTTGTTCTTAGAACATTTCTGGGTTCTACGAAAATTTCGTGGTAGGCCTATCGGAATGCCGGGACGGTCGGTCCCTGCTCAGTCTCCGGTGTCGTCTGGAATGGGGGAGGGGTTGATGGGCCGACTTTCCACCACCACTACCACAGGTAGGAGAAGGAGGAGGAGGAGGAGGAGGAGGAGGACGATGAGGACCTCCCCATGCTCCCTCTCCCCCTGTCCTGCTGTGCCAGCGGTGGTGGACAAAGTGGCCCCTCAGGGACGAGAAGGGAGGGCCCAGGAGCAGGAGGACGATGAAGCTTGCCCAGGGCGGGCCTGCAGCCACGACCCCGCGAGGGCACGCAGAGTCTGACGCGCCGGAGTCCGACCGCGCGCCCAGAGGCCTGTCGGGGCCGGTGGGCGCGCCGAGGCCCCGCCTCGGGCCCCTCCGCTCGGCCGAACGGGTCCCACGCTCGCTCACGAGCTGTGTCCCCCCACTCACTCTGCGCACCTCCTGGAGGTTAAGAGGTCCACGACAGGTGCCAAAGTTGGAAACGGCAGCAACAGTTCGCAGCTCCACACTGGCGCTCTAAACTGGCGCGCTGTCTGGAGGTGGGAGAGACGTGTGTGCTGTTTGGAGGCTGCTTGGAGTTGGCTGGCGGATTCAGCTTTGTGAGCTTTGCTGGCGTAGTCCCCGAGCCTGCGCCGAGAGGCGGGTGTTCATCCCGCCGTTCTGCTTCATCAGCTGGGCCTCGACGGCCTGGCAGGGGGGGAAGAAGGGTGGGGTGGGGTGGGGTGGGGTGGGGTGGGGGTGGGGGGGGGGTGGGGCAGACCGCACAGACGTCTGGGTCGTTGGCCCCTCCTGGCTGGAGGGACGAGGGCCAATCGTGGCTCATCTCAGAGGGCATCGTGGCCTCGTCCCGGCGGCGAGCCCGGGGGCGGGGGGGCAGCGAGGAGGAGGAGGAGGCCCCCTCAGAGGGCTCGGAGTCGTCGCCCCGCCCTCCCGGGGGGCCTCCGGGCCCTCCCCGAGGACGCAGGGCAGCTTCTGAGAGGGCGCGAGGAAGCCCCGCCCCCGTCTGAGTGGTAGACCTCCCCCTAGGAGGAGGGAGGAGGAGGAGGAGGAGGAGGAGGGAGGAGGAGGAGGAGGAGGAGGAGGAGGAGGAGGAGGGAGGAGAAGGAGGAGGAGGAGGAGGCTCCCTTCCCCCCCCCCCGCGCTCGCCGCAGGTCAGCGGCCACCTCTGCGGGAGAGGGCTCGGGGCTCGTGCGCGCGGGCCCGGGGAAAGAGTGCGGATAGGGGGACTGGCGGGCCCCCTTCTTCTCCAGCAATCCTACTCCCATAGGCAGGAGAGGGAGGAGGGAGGAGGAGGAGGAGGAGGAGGAGGAGGAGGAGGAGGAGGAGGAAAAAAAAGGAGGAGGAGGAGGAGGAGCAAGACGAGAAGGACCTCCTCATCCTCTCTTCTCCCCCGTTCTGCATGTGGTAGGGGTGGTGGAAAATTGGCCCATCACCTATGTCTGATGCGATACGAGACGTCATGGCATCGCCACGATGTGCATTGGAGGCCCGACCACAAGAAACCTTCCACAAGAAACCCAACCATGAGACACCAGGACGTCCACTGGTTTTCGGTGTGGGAACGGCACGCCTTACATGACAAAACCATCGAAACCCAACCCAGGGCACCCTGGAGGCAAAGCATGGTGTTTCTTGGCATTTTGGCATTGGTTTCCACTGTAAGCTGCTCACTGCGAAAGCAATGCCTTCTGAACTCACGTCAGTTTGACTATGCGCCGGCCATGAGTTGGTGCCACCAATCGCCCCCACAGGTACGGGATACGCTGAACGTCGCGCCGCGCCAAATGAATCGGCGGTTTCTGAACGCACCCGGCGCGCCATATGAATCGGCGGTTTCGCGGGTGGGGGGTCGCGAAACCGGCAGTCAGACCAGACCCAAGAAGGTCAAGGAAGCAGGGGAACAAGAGGAGAAGGAACGGTACAGGAGGGGAGGGGGGAAGAAAAACGGGGGGGGGATGATCAAGCTAGGTGCGCTCACGCCATATCTGGCATACGACCCCTCATACCCATTCCTTTCCCATTGCTATTTGTGTTTCTCTATCCGCCGACGGGTGTCATAGCGGACCTTGAACCTCCCAAGTGACCCCATCATGCCACGCTCCATCCGAAATTCGAGTTGGGTGCTTCGGAGGAAAAGAGGAAGAAGAGGAGAAGAAGGAAGAAGAGGAGGAGGAGGAGGACAAGGAGGAGGAGCAGGAGGAGGAGGAGGAGGAGGAGGAGCAGGAGGAGGAGGAGGGGAAGACGAGGAGCAGCAAGAGAAGCAGGAGGAGGAGGAGGAGGAGGAGGCAGAGGAACAACACCAGCGGGAGCAGCTGTTGCCCGGGGTGCGCGAACCATGCCGTCAGGAGGTGAGGAGCGCTGAGCGCGCGCGGATATTGCGCCTGCAGCGTGTGCCGCCACCGAAGCATGGGCCCACGGCGCGGATCGGCGGAGCGCGGCGGAGCGGGAGGAGCAGGAGGACCAGGGGAGGGCGGAGGGGAACGGAAGAGGAGGAGAAGGAGGAAGAGGAGGAGGAGGACAAGGAGGATGAGGAGGAGGAGGAGGAGGAGGAGGAGGAGGAGGAGCAGGAGGACCAGGGGAGGGCGGAGGGGAACGGAGGGGGGCAAACAGCAACGAGCAAAGACGTTGGCCCGCGCGGGGGCGAGGTCGCAGCGCTCAGCAGCGGGGGCAGGGGCGCCGATCCTGCAGCGAGGCCGACGCTGCAACGGGAACGCCGTCTTGAAACCCCAAGAAATGAAGGGGCCCCAGGGCACACAAATAAATACACACACATAAACCAATTCCCCGTTATTTCCCCATATGTTCTGGGCTTTTGTCTTCCCGCCCAATCCCCATAGTTTTCCATGTTTTCATGGGGATCGACGATTAATTGTGTCTGTGTGCTTTTTCCCCTCCTGAAAAGAATCCGCTCACGTGCCTGCTCGAGCGAGACGGCCCGAGGTACCTCCAAGAGAGCCCGTAAGGACCACAGGAGGACCTCCACCAGGGCCCGAAGGAACCCCAAGTATTGACTTCGGCCAAGTGGTTGAACGAGTTTCGCGTTATCGCCGTAAGCTCAAGACGACCCAAGAAGCTTCCACGATGGGCCCAAAGCGGACCAAGAGGCCCCCACGAGGGTCAAACTATTGCTCAAGAGACCCCACGAGGGCCTAAGAGGCATCCCAGACGGCTCCGAGACGGCCCGACAAGGCCTACAGTGGGACCCAAAACGGCCTTAGAAGGCCCTGTCGACGGCCCAAGGAATCGCAAAGACGGCCCCACGACTACCCCCCGATACCCATCATACCGCCAAAAGGGCCCCAAAACGGCCTCCGAGCGCCCCAAGACAGCCTAATTAAGCGGCCTGTCCTTTCCTCCTCCTCTTGCTCATCCTCGCCCTCTTCCTGCTCATCATCATCATCATCATCATCATCATCATCATCATCATCATCATCATCATCGTCATCATCATCATCACCATCACCATCACCATCACCATCATCATCATCATCATCATCGTCATCATGATCAGCCGCAGCATCATCATCATCATCAGCAGCAGCATCACCATCATCATGATCAGCAGCAGCCGCATCAGCATCATAATCAACATCAGCATCGACATCAGCATCAGCATCAACATCATCAGCATTGGCCGCATCAACATCATACTCGTCAAAAAACATAAACATAATCAACATCAACACCATCCCCATCATCATCACCGCCATCATCATCATCACCACCACCATCACCATCACCATCGTCATTACCATAATGACAATGCTCATCAGTATTACACCGTCATCGTGATCACCACCATCACCATCATCATCACATTCACCATCACTACCATCATCACAAACATCAGCATCATCATTACCATCATCATCTCCATCACCATCATCATCATCATCAGCATCGTCATCGTCGTCGTGGTCGGCTTTACCATCGTAATCGTCGTCATCATCACCACCATACGCATAACGGCGATCGTAAAAGAATCAGCATAATCATCATAATCATACTTAGAATCAAGATCATAATCATAATCAGCATCATCATCCTCGCCCTGATCCTCATCCTCGTCACGCTCATCCTTATCAATGCTCTCCCAATCCGGGAGACACGAGATATCACAAGTGAAGGCATACCGTGCCCCCTCGACCAATCGCTACCCTGAATGCCAGGCTCGAACAGTTGCCGGACTTGCCGCAGGCAACTGGTTAGACGGAGAGGGCGGAAAATGTTCAGCACGTAGTCATTGGAGAGGGGAGTCGCACTCGTAGAAAGTGTGGAGGGGGGGGGGGCGAGGCGGGAGGAGGGTGAGGACGGGGGAGGCAGCTTGGGGAAAGGGGCCGGAGGGAGGGGACGGGGGTGCAATACACAGCACCTCCCGATCAGGCGCAAAACTGCAAACTAGTACACACCACCTGGATTGCCAAAACCGCCCATGCTGAGGGATACGTGTTTGAGATGACCGTCTTCGGGGGACCGCCAGGCTGCGGATATGATGAGTTCTAAGCAACTCACCATGCGTGTTTGAAAGTGGTATGGCAGGTGCTGGCCGACGGCGTGCCGCCATGGATGTCTGAGGTCTGAAGAGCCCACGTACACTAGACACCGCTGCACTTGTTGCTGAGCGCGCGACACCCCAAGAGCATGACGACCCGCACACCACCCCACTTCTGGAAAATGAAATATCAAGCTCAATGTGCCCAGGCTCCAGGTGGCCAGAAGCCCGAACGGCTGCAAGCTCACACAAATCCGACATGTGCCACTCCAAGAGATTCCCCAAACCCGTGGGTGGCAATTCATTGCGCCTAGCGCCCATGAGGCTCCAACCCCACATGATGACACTGTTGTGGGCGCCCTGGGGACCAACGCGGAAACAAAAACTAAACACGTACGGCTGTCGGCCAGGAGGCAAAACACGCGACCATGTATCGGAATGTGGTGCGCGTGGGTTACCTGTTCTCAGCGAGACCCCCCCCCCCCCGCCACCTCCCGTCTCCTCCCCCTCTGATTCATATGTCGGTAGCCATTGTGGCTCAAGCGGATGCATTCCCGCGCCGCCATCCTGCGAGATGCCGCGCGGGCTAGAGGGGCCCTCCCGACGTGCGACGGCGCAGCCCTCGTTGCGGCTGCCGTCCGCGCCGCCGTGGACGGCCGTGCGCCTCGTCGCGCTATCGCGGCGGTCGCCCGCGCGGCTGTAGCTGCCGCTGCCTCGGCTGCGCCAGCCGCGCCGCGCGTGTCGACGGCCGACGAGGCGGTGGATGAGGAGAAGCAGGAGAAGAGGCAGACGCCGCCGTCGGCAGCGGAGGCGGAGCGCCGACGGCGCCGCCTTGCGGAGGCGCGCGCTGGCGGGGGCGCGCTGCTCCGCCTGCTCCTGACCCCAGGTGCTGGAACGCCTGCCGCGGAGGCGCCCCCCCGCTGCTGGAGCGGCGGGCACGGGCGCTGGAGCTGGCCGCGGGGCTGCTGCCGGACGGAGCCAGGCGCGGGTGCGTCCGTCGGCCCGAGCCTGCAGCGGCCGCCGCGGGCGCGGAGCTTGCGGACCGGGAGGGCGACAGCTGCGCGGACGTCGCCTCCGCGGTCGGCGCCGACGTGCGCGCGACGCCCTGGCGGAGGCGGGCGCTGGCGATGCGGTGGCGGCTGGCACGGGCCCGCCCGTGACGGGTGGCGGGTGGCGCTCGCGCAGGTGGCGCTTGCGCAGCTCCTGCCTCCCGCGCCCGCGGCGGCGGGGGGCGTGCGGGAGCGGGCTCGGCTGGCGCTGGCCCGCTCGTCCTGATGCTGCTGTTCGGCGTGCACGTCGTGTGCGTCGACCCCCAGTGCTTCCTTCGGCACAATCGGGGGGCCCAAGACTAGTCAGGTCCGGTCCTGGCCCCCCGCGGACCATCGATGGCATAAGAAGGCAGCTTGGGCTGGCAAAGTTCCCTCTGACTCAAAGCCCGACCCACTTACACACAGACAGGCTATTGAGCCGTGCTGGTTCATGCCCAGACTCCTCACCCACACAGGTGACCAAGTCCTAGCCAGATCCCACCAGCCCTCTGGGCGTGAGTGGTTTATAGCGTTTCCTCTTCCAACTCCCAATCCTCCCCTTCGGGGAGGGGCTTCTGGTCAAGAGGCCCCAAAGACGCCCCATGGGCCTATGAGGACTCGAAGAAACACTGATGAGACATCCGAAGAGACTCCGAGAGTCATCTAAGAGGTTTCTGGCATTTATGCTCGCTCTGCTCCTCCTCTTCCTCCTCCTCCTCCTCCTCCTCCTCCTCATCTCCCTCCTCCTCCTCTCCCTCCTCCTCCTCCTCCTCCTCTTCTTCCTCCTCCTCCTCCTCCCCCTCCTCTTTCTCTTCCTTCTCCTCCGATTCCTCTTCGATCCACTCCGTCGTGGGGTATGAGGGCTTTTTTAGCCATCTATTCCATTGCATGCTTCTTCTCATCCCTGAGGGCAAATCGCCTGGGCATCGTTTCTTGATGGGCTGGTGGGATTACGCGAAGCGTCTTACATCCACTTGCACG